TTCCAATTTCTTCGATACAGTGTAGGCTTCGGTAAATCATTTTTTCTGGTCACTTTCACTTATGAGGTTACTCCAGCTGCAAGGAGATGAGTCCCAATAGCTCACTGCGAAATACAGCAGTGACTTACTTCGTTGAGCAGCTCCCTCGTACCATCATGCGTCCAGGCCCACTCCAACAACATCGGCGTGCAGCGTGTCGTCGCGATGCACAGAGCTGCTTTCCTGGTTTGCAAAACACATCTAAAACAGCTCTAGTATTCCGCTGATGACACTTACTACTTGCGTCGCTCTGGTCGGACGGCTCTCTGACCCGCGTGGGATCAGCTACTGAGTGCAGCCCAGCCGGACGGTCAACTGTCAGAGAAGTGCTCAGTATTGTGTTTTATTCTGCATACTCCGCGTGGATCGCGCATGAGCAATTAATACCCCAAGAAAGCAGCTTTAAGGACCAATCCATGTATGATATTTATGGGTTTTTGAATATCACATGGTCTAATATCGAGTGAATTGTGAAGGTGGCAACTGCTTGTGGCAGATTGGAATCACTAAATGCTCAATTGTTGTTGTCACTTTTAACATCTAGTAATTGCGAGTGTGTCATGCAAATATCTCTCGTCTACCAGCAACCAACCAGCGACCAGCTACGAAACAATTTCCACCCAATTTTCTGAACAGTGATCCATACATTGCAGTACTATAGTATGAGAAGGAGCCAGGATTTCTCTTGCAAGAGTATTAATTAATGTCCCTAACAAATTCCCTGAAGTAAAGGGAGAGGAACCATCCACTGAAGGAACCTTCCTCTAGTGAGACACCACAATGATGGAAGGGGAGCTGGCAGTGATGATCCCAGCAGCAACTCTTATCTACCTGAGAAGTAAGATAATTAAACGAAACCAAGGTGATGAAAGACAGCATACCTAGGTAGCTAGAAGTTTTGTTGGCATTGTTATCATTATGTCTACTTACGCTTATTCTGCTAACAGTTTTATGTCGGGCCAGTCAAGCTCGCGAGACTAGGAAGAATATGCGCATGCGCAGAATATACGACACGCCCAAAAATGCTGAGTGCAGCACAAAACGAGATAAACCAAGAGTGAATTCATGAAGTTGCAACCGAACCCGTCCCTACACCGTTCCCCGGCGATAAAACATGAGCAAACTCATTGCTATCTCTCTGTGTTTCTCCTATATTATGGCAGTAGAGTGTTAGTAGTACTTACAGCGGTGCGCATGCACTGACATCGTATTGGAGATCGGCGGAGAATACTTGAGCTAGAGTGCGGCTTCAGCGATGGCCACAGGAAGAGTGAGCACGTGCAGCAGCATGGCATCGGTCGACCATCACTTTCAAGAATTAGGCAGCGATGATTTAAAGGTCGTATATGAAGCCATTTGTCCATAGTCTAAAGATGAATGAAATTGCAAATATCGAGATGCAGTGTGGTACAGATCCCAAAAAAATCCTGCTTCATGTTTTATCAGTTCGTTTAAAGCAGAGTCCGGCCCTCACATGGGGGGGATATTGAAACAGCGCTCAGGTCAGAAGCTTTAGGTGAGCATGAGCAAGCTAATAGAATAAAGGAAGAGTATGGCCACCTGTACTATAGGCTTGATCCCAGCCTTCAGGCTGCCTCAGACCAACAGTATGGAGCAACAGAAACAAAAAGAGTTGCAAAGTATGCAAGAAGCGATGATCTTCGTACAAAAGTAAGTGACGAACAGACGGAGAGTGTAAAGGTGGAGGTAAGTGGAACAGAAAGCCACACGAACCCATTAAGGGTACAGGGTGAAAATAACAGTGAAACAATGGCAGAACAAGAAACAGAGAATTCTTCAGAAGGTTTGTCAAGCGCAGACCCAGATAAAGATGATTCTTCAAAATTTAAGGAAAGTGGCGAACACAATATTTTTGAACGCTTCTTTGGCCAACTCTGTTGTGAAATATCCAATCCAGTGAAAACTGCAGCTCAGCTTCAGAAGAAAGGTCTGATATCCAAGGCAGTAATGAAAGACATGATAATGTCCACCAAATCTCAACAAGAAAAGACTATTAGTTTAGTTGATGCAGTCGATGAGACAGTAAAGTCAAAACCTGACCTTCTTTTTGTGTTCATTGAAGTACTACTGGAGGATGAAGGCCTTCAGACAGTAGGCAGAGAAATGTCAACAGAAACTGGTAAATTACCTCAGATTGCTCATTGATAACATGATATGCACTCTCGTTCTTACAGGTAATGCTTATCCTGACAGAACCCGGGCAAGATTCCCCGATGTAGAGTGTTGTCCTGAGACTATGGCTCCAAATACACATTTAACAGCTACTTACAGAGATGCAACCATGAAAAATACCACAGGAAGAGGAAGGGGCAGACAAGAAACAATGCCGACCACAAGTTGGAAAACTGAACTTAAGAGTACCCTCGCAGTAATAGGTGATGGTACAAGTCAGTCAGGTTTAAGCCCAGTGTTGGCAAAGTATAAGAGCTACTTGCGGTCTGTTTACAATGCTAGAGCCCTAGCTCCAGCAGACAAGTACCTTCCCACCCTAGATGCCCCCTACATTAATCTTGCCATGATTATAAAGAGACGTTATAATACTGGGCTAAGAGATGAGTTTACCAGGAGAACATTGCATGGAGGAGTAGACCAGATTCTTCAGAGCAAAGTACCTATAAACATTGAAGACTTGGTGACTACTGACTGGAAAGACGACTATCTGTTAATACAGACATATTTAAAAGCTCTGATCCAAAAACCCGGCAAATTTCAAAGAGGTATGCCTGTCCTGACGGCCCCAGAAACCAGTAGTAGGCCAGGTGCTTTCATTCTGGTAGAAGGTCCACCAGGAATTGGTAAGAGTACCTTTTCCTGGGAGGCATGTAGGAGATGGGATGATATACAAAGCCTTAGATACTACCACACTCTGGTACTACTAAAGTTGAGGGAAAAGTGGGTCTTAAATGCCACATCGCTTTCTGATCTTTTCAGATACCCAGATCAACCCAGTTTTAGCAAGGATATTGCACAAGAACTGCATGATTCCCATGGTCGCAACCTGTTACTGGTTTTAGATGGTTTTGACGAAGTCTCTCACAGTTTCCATGAGGACTCTGTCATAAAAAGCATTCTATGCAGGCAGCTTTTGCCAGAATGTACCATCATTCTCACTACTAGACCAGTGGCCAAGTCAGCACTCAGAAGTATCTGCCAGCCTAAAGTTGATAAACATGTAGAAATTATTGGGTTCACAGAGGAAGAGAGAGTGAGGTATATCACTGAGGTCTTTAGAGAGGAACCAGAGCTTCAGGCAAATTTCTTTAAGTACATGTTTCTTGTTCCTCACATAAAGTCAATGATGTACATTCCACTCAACTGTGCCATTATAGCACAGGTCTATTACGAGTCTCAGAGTAGCCGCCACCTCACTATACCAAGAACAAGAACACAGCTCTACAAGGCACTCACTAATTTTCTTCTCGTCAGACACATGAGGATGAAAGAACCCAATCATGAGTATACATCTATGCTTCCTGAGGGCTTAAACAAAGAGGGAAAAAGTAAATTTGAGGTTTTGACTAGATTTGCTTTTCTTACCTATCACCAAGGAGGATTGAAGCAGGTGACATTTTTCAAAGAGGACATCCCTGAGGGATTTGTTAGTTTTGGGTTCATGAATGAATCTACTGAAATGTATGCTGGCAAAGGAGTCGAGCGAACGTTGTCATTTCTCCACCTCAGCCTACAGGAGTACCTGGCAGCTTGGCACCTTGCTGATACCTTCAGCACTGAGTTTCAGGTGGCTTATCATAGGCTGGCTGTAGATGAATGGGCTCGTTCCCCATACGAGGGTAGTAACAAGGATGAGGAAGCTCTCTTATCATCACTAGAGTTACAGAGATCATCACTAGTGGAGCCAGCCATATTCCTGGCTGGTATCACTGGCTGGAAAAGCAAGTCAGCTGGTGACAGCCACCACTGGGAATTATATCTCAGTCACGACACCGCACATATTGAGGATTCCAGTGTTTTGTTCTGCTCTCTCTATGAGGCTCAAAATCCCACTATTTTATCCCACTACTTCCCATCCTATCCCACTGATTTCAAGATTAACACTCAATCAAGAAGAACACTTCGCATTGATTCAAAGTTGACACCATGATAGTTGTTATGCCCTTTCACACATTCTCGCATATTCCTCGGTCAAGCTTAATTTGTGTGTTGATCTCCAAGCGGGTGACTCTTCACTACTGGAGACATTCGTCAAAGGTCTTGACGATCACCGCAAGTCTGCCACTCCAAGTGTCAAGACAGTGGAAGTATGGTGTCTATATTGGCTAGTGAAAGAAAACTTTTTTAGACTTGAAACTGAATATATTGCAAGAAATCGTCTTGATGATCTATTACAAAAACTCGACGCAATACAATTTCTCTATATTATTAGTACCGAGCCCTGGGAGTGGAAGTGGATATCTGCACTAAAGTCTCTCAGTGGCCGTGAACTAAGAGGATTTCATGTCACCAACAAAGGCAGCCAACTTACTAGCTGGTCAAAAACTGTTCTTGATGTTCATTTTCCTTACACTGCCTTGAAGTTTGATGCAATGTATGTTGCAATTGATTCAGTACTAAAAACAGTTGTGAGATCGGATGCAATTACTGAAATGGAGTTGTCTGCAATTTCTCGTGAGACCATGGATGGTGTCCATAGCATATTACTACACTCTCCCAGTCTTACCACACTGAGACTGAGGAGAAGCAGGCTGGACGATGATGGCATCCTCTACATATGTAGTGCACTGAGAAAGAACACGGTACTAAGACATCTTTTGATTCGTGGCGATCTTCAAATGCCACAGACAAAGTCAGTATGGAGAAGACTGCAGTTTGAGTGGGTATGCAAGAGATTTTCTTCTCTGCCAATCTGGACCAAACACCTTCTGAAAATAAAAAATATTCTCGAGGACAATGCTACTCTGGAAGATATGACAATCCAGTCTGAACCTGCACAGTATATAAACCTATTACTATAATCTACCAATTGCAATCACTTCCACACGTCTTACCAAAACCTGCAAATCTACACAGACCTCTGCCCACCTACCTCAATGTTTAAACCTGCAGCAATGATCATGTGTACCTTTCCCAAATCCTTCCCAAACTACTCACACACACCCAACACAGCCTGTGAAGCAATGTGTATAAATAACCTGCACACCTAACACACCGTGTATTGACCCAGCAACCTGTGGACCTATAGGGTAACATTTGGAAGCCTTATCTTGCGTATGAGTTTTACTTATCTTGGACCAGTTGCCTGCCCATTGTATTACCTGTGGTGTCACTGCTGCTGGCTCTGAAGCAAAAGGAGAGGGCTGTCCATTGAAGCAGGCAGCAATGCCTAATTATCTGAAGCACCAATGGAAGTGGTGTACCCAGAAGTAGTAGGCTAACTTCAACTGTTCTTCGTCAATTGTGTAGGCAGTTTGAGTGGGTTTGCAAAGAATTTCTTCTCCGCCAGATAAGACCACCTGGACCAAACTCTTTCTGGAACTAAACAATATTCTCAAGGACAATGCTACTCTGGAAGATGTGACAATCCAGTCTGAATCCGCACAGTATCTAGAAGATGTGATAATCCAGTTAAACCCACACTATAATCTGCCCACTGCAATCACTTCCACACGTCTTACCAAAACCAGCAAATCTACACAGACCTCTGCACACCTATACCTCAACCAACTGCGCAGCAATGATCATATGTACCTATCCCAAATCCTTCCCAAACTAACTCACACACACCCAACACAGCCTGTGATGCAATGTGTATAAATAACCTGCACACCTAACGACCTAACACACCACATATCGACCCAGCAACCTGTGGACCTATACAGCAACATTTAGACGCCCCCAGACATACTGTTTATCTTGCACATGAATCGACTTATCTTGGAGGAGTTCATGCCTGCCCATTGCATTACCTGTGCTGTTGGCTCTAAAGCAATGGGAGAATAGTGAAAACTGGAGTTTACAGAATGGTCCAAATGGTGTTTTACCCGCACACACAGCCCTGGGGAAATGTTCAAGGAGAGAGAGGTTGAATTGCTGGAGGATATTCTAATTACTCAGATGAGGGTTTTACTCCACCAATAGTCCTATCTTCCTCCCTTCCTCTCCTCCCTCCTCGTTTCAAGGCTGAAGGGACAGGGAAGGAACTGAAGTCACATGAAAAAACAGACCTCGGCATCTTACAGTGTGGCAATAAGAACCTTAAAATTAAGAATTGGATAATCTTTTCAGTACAAGGGAGAACGAGACATCTTCAGAGCAAAGTACCTTGGCAGGCAGCAATGCATCTCTTAAGTACCCACACCCACTAACGGTCCTCCAATTGTTCCTCGTCAATTGTGTTCATGTGAGGTCAGCGTGTAGACCGCCACACTGCAAGATAACTCACAATTAAACCTCCCTCTGATGAAACACTGCACAATGATAGACTGCCTGCAGTGACGAAGAGTGTAGCACTCTTAATCGGACCACTGCATACTCAAGAAGACAACTTGAACATTTCACATCTCTCTCTGCTGGCTATCTGACGTAGATGGAGGCTTTTTCCGAAGACTTTCTCTTTCAGTACTAATTTTGATACATGAAGTCCTTGTTCCCTATCCCTATCTGGTATTACAATTGTGTGATCTATGTTGATGTACATAGTGATTATGTGATTAACATTGGTCAGATTTAATGGGTTATTAATGTCCCCTACCATTGTCATAAGCTTTGTTAAACCCTCGGTGCGCATGCACAGCGATGATATACTTGGTCTGTGTTTAGCCCTAGAATGCAGTATATAATAAACCCGGCCGGCGGCCAAGGAATGACAAAATGACACACATACATAGAGGAGATGGTTGGGGGATAGAGGGGCATGGGGTTGTATAATGAGAGAAAGACAAGATTGGAAGTGGACTAGATAGTCTGTTGCTACATGAACTGCTCGAGGTTGCTGGTGGAGTTCTCCTGACTGGCAGAGGTCTGTGTGTCTGGTGTGGTGTCCTCCACCTGACCGGCTGATGGCTCCTCCCAGAATTCTGAGGGGGAGACGGGAGAGGTGGGTGAAAGGGAAAATAAAGAATGGGGTCACCATTCAGTTGAAGTTTTGGGTTTTTAAATGATAGTGGAATAGGCTCCGAACCAGGGACACTATGGGTAAATGTTTTGTCCCTTGTATATAGAGCGGTTGTCCCTATCTCGGGAGGTCAACTAATACACTAGCATGGGGTTGAAAAAAGTGTCCCTTGTAGAGATGTCGTCCCTATCTCAGAGGGTCCCCTGTCGGAGGTTCCACTGTATCTGCAAAAGTTTTCTCTGCTGGAGGCCTTTTGCCACCAAATTGCAAGGTTTTCCTCTGAACAGATAGTAGTCCAGTGTTGTTGATTCCAACACTGTTTAGCGCAAAAACCCCAATTCACCTCCTTCTTGCTCCTTATTGTACTTGGTGTCTCCCTCCATCAGTGCACTGGTGTTGTAGCTCCCTCTCTCCCCTCTCTTTCCCTCTTCTCTTCTTTCTGATCGTCCTCCTCCTCCTCCCTCTTCTTCCCTAAGCCTGGAATAGCCAAGGCTCTCGGTCAAGACAACCTCTTTCTCTGACTGCAAACAAGTACAGCAAAATACATACAGTGGAACCTCCTATCAAGGACCCTCCAATATAGGGACGACCTCTCTACAAAGGACTTGTTTCAACCCCATGCTAATATTTCAGTGTATTATTTGACCTCCGAGATAGGGACGACCTCTCTGCAAGGGACAAAATCGTTGGCTCCATAGTGTCCCTTGTTCGGAGGTTCCACTGTACAGTTCACATCAACACAAACTCTCTAAATGCCAAAAAAACTCACGCACATTGCCCACCTAAGTAGGTATACAAAGCTAAGCCCAGTGCCCATCTAAGTAGGTAGATAAAAGCAAGCGTTAGTGCCCACTGAAGTAGGTAGACATGAAGTCGTCCTCTACCAGTGGCTCACCTCCGATGGGTTCAATTCCCTTGCAGCCATGATCTCCTTCCTGAGTCTGTCCTTCTTTGACATCCTTGACCTCTCCAGCCTCTTCTCTATTTCCTGGTGAGATGGAGGGGAGGGGGAGGAGGAGATCGATGGGGGTGGAAGGGAAGAGGGGAGGAGGTTGAGGGGGAGGGGGGAAGAGAGGTGGGTGGATAATTGAGTGATTGTATTTGTCTAGAGAGGGAAAAGACCTCTTTCTTTCTCTCGGCGACTAGGTGTTGTTTCATCTCCAGCATCTCTTTCGTCACCATTGGAGCACTCTCCAGCTTCTGCGAGTAGATGTGCAGTACTGAGAGTATATTGTTGCATTGCACATGAACGATTATACAGAACCACTGTCAGAATAGACTGTGATATTGTTTAAGCATTACAAGTTGAATCTAGTGCATCTCATAATGTGAATGCAGCGGATCACTTGGAACTGTTGTGTGCGCACTTCTCTTTTTGAAAGTAAGAACTGTTAGCCCAGTACACATAGGCGTTTGCGAGGACGTTCTTCACAAATGCCTTAGCCATCTTTTTACGCTACGCATATCCAGAACTGCTGTGGTTTGGCTACACTCAGCTTTACTACCAATCCCTGGAGCATTCTGTTGCTGATGCATTCGCGTTGAGTTCGGCCGTAACACGGACAACATCACAGCAGACTGGACGAGAGACTCAGAGAAACAGAGAGAGAGAGTTCTCTACCTTGAGTCTGGCAGGGATGGGGACTCTGGCCTCCAGTCTGTCATCAGGACTCATACACACCTCAAACACCAGTGGCTGCCAAGAAATACACACATTTATTCTTCTATACTACAGTGATCATGGAACAATACACGTCTTTCCCAGACACAATACTGTATGTCTGAGCTATCATGCAATAATACACAGCTTTTCTGTACATATGTACATGCACACATGCTGAGCTATCATACAATAATACACAGCTTTCCCGGATTAGATGCACACATGCTGACCATTTGCCACTGCATAAAAGTTATAGCATAGTCCAACTAGAACACTATGTCAGCTGCTAGAGTGTATATACCCGCATAGTTAATGGTGGCTCCTTTCAACTCACTACAACTGTATCCAACTAGCTATTATGCCGTGGACCACCTCTTACTGCAGAGACAGAAGGAGGGACGGTTTGAGTTGCAGATGGTGGACTGGAACCTGCCACTGCTGATGAGAAAGAGGGCGTTGTCGTACCTGAATGAGGAGAAATGAATTACGTTGAACCTCTGAAAAAGACCCTCCAAATTAAAGCCACATCTTCATAAGGGACACTTGGCTTTGCCCCATTATAATAACATTAAAAAAAGGGCACCTTACATTAATACATTGGAACATAACTGGCCGCAAGTAGAACAAGCCAAATTTACGCATTGTGCAAGATAAAGGACACTTTAGATGCCCCCAAAGGCTCCCTTGTTTAAAAAAATCAACCTACTGCACAAGGAGGGAACGCACTGGATGATGGAGAAGTGGCATTCTTGACTGCTCTCTCAATTTCACTCTGGTCAGAATAAACGGGATCCAGACCTTCTCCTGCCTCCCCTTTCCCCTCCTTTCCTCTTCTCAGTACACCAGTCTCAGTCTCATGGTCCTCACAGCTTCTGTAGTGAACCATCCATTAGGCTATGTCCCTCTACAGAAACCTCTACTGTCCATAGTGCAGCTCACCTCCTGGCTGGGTGATCCAGTATATTTATCTCTTCTTCCAATACTTTCGCTGCTTTAGAAGCTCCACAACCCATTCTACCACACAGTCTATTATATACGCCTGTCTCCTCTAATAAGCTTACGCGGCTGTTCTGCTTGCCTAAAACATAGATATCAATGCCTCACTAGCTAGCTGCCGCCATGTGTTTCCTGGTTCCCACGGCAACAAGATGACCACGCCCACACACGAAGGCTTTGGGTCAAAGGTCAAGCAAAGCCTAACAAGTCTGCTTCTGACGGACGACGGGATGCCGTCTACAAGAAGAAAGACGTCTTGGACCGCAGAGCCGCGTGGTAAGAGTCTAGTTTCTTGGGCCTCTTGAGGTAGAATATGCCGTAGTCCCTAGCCCTAGTCCGTTCTTCGACATGAAAGTGTGCTGCTCTCTCGCTGCAGGTCACGTGTGGCGCTGCGCGGCGGTGAAAACTCTCTGGACGTGCCTACTGGTCGTCAGCTGGCACTGCCCGGCAGGTGAGCCGCTACCTCCCTTTCTCTCTCCTCCCTCTCGACCACTCCCTCCTCTCATCTTGTGTGTGTGTGTGTGTGTGTTTGCTCAGGTGTGCTGGGTGACAACTCTAGTTCTAGCATCACTCCCTACACTTCAGCCTCCAGGTACGCTTTGCTGACATTTACAAGTGTTGATTGGTGCCTTCCCCCAATTTGGATCACGCAAAACAATGCACTCGCAATTGGCGACATGTTTGTGTAAAACACAATTGATCGTTTTGGGTGACATGTGCAAGTGTGTTAATGACTGGATAATTAAGGGGGTCCAGAGAGGTCCCTGTAGTTGAATGACTCATGTCTGGGGTAATGCAGGGTGTCACTGGTGGAAGGGGTGAGCTAGGGTGTCTAAGACAGACGCCATTGTATCTCGTGTACAGTGGAACCTCCGATAAGGGACCCTCCGAGATAGGGACGACCTCTCTACAAAGGACACTTGTTTCAACCCCATGCTAATACTTTAGTTTATTATTTGACCTCCGAGATTGTAGGGTCGACCTCTCTACAAGGGACAAAATCATTGGCCTCATAGTGTCCCTTGTTCGGAGGTTCCACTGAGGTACTGGTTCAGCCCATTGTTCTAGGTGCACGTTATATAGCCATAGTGCTAAGGCCCCCACTTGAGTATACTATTAGTTACGTACATAGTATGTAGGTGACGTTTACTCTCACTTTTTGCACAGCACTGTGGCACCATCCCCCACCTCTCCCTCCCCCTCCTTCTCCTCCTCCTCTCCCCACCCCTCCCCCACCTCCCTCCCTCCCACACCCACTCCAACTCCCCCGGTCTCCAAACCGTTCCTCAACTACATGCTGAGCGGGAAGCTACATCTGATGATTCAGACCATTAACATCTTTATCTGTGAGTAGACTAAGTACAGAGAGAAGGCATTTCCTTTGGCCAGCATGTGACTGTCACACAATGACAGGGTTCTGCAATGGTATGGAAATTGACCTGTTATGTGTTGCAAAATAAGATGTTGAAAAGTGCAAACCCTCGGCGAACTGTGCATGTGCGGTCACTAATAGATGGGCTGGGCTTTTAGTATGCGTTTACTCGTGGTGTCCCGCTAGTAGCTCACGGAGAGTCTGACACGGACTAGCTACAGTAGTAGATAGCATGCGGGAGTCGATACACGCCCTTCGTTGTGACTTATTGTGCCTTCAAGATGCAAAGAGCAAGCGGACCTGGTCGAGGTAAGCCTGTGCTAATTTGCATATTGGCTTGTTCACTTGCCATAAGTGTTGAATGCAGTAGTTAAAATGAAGCCAGTGTATGAACCCGGTAGTATCGCTGTTTTGTTGTGTCTGCACGTAATCGCAGAAAACGTGGTAACAGACAGACAGACAGACACACCTACAAACCAAGTACCGTAACCCTCACTGTGCATGCGCGCCGAGGGTTGAAAACACTGATACATCTATACAGTTGTTGCATGCATGTTATTACACACTTTGTTTCATGCATGAAAAGCATGTGTAAAGCATACTAGCCACAGAGAAAGAAAAGAAAGAAAACCAGAAGTCACCCACCACCCAAGTATACATGAGACAAGACAAACAGCACACTTGCACCTAAAAAGGTAGGACACCAGGTGCCCAGCCTTGAGAACTGGGGCATGTCTCAACAACTTGGTAACGAGGTAGAAGTAGAAAGGCAGGGCAAACAAGTCAACTACACCCAGGACAGCTCTAAGAAAAGAAGAAGAGCTGCCCTGGGTGGGATTCGAACCCACGACACTCTGCAGTCTATATACCGACTGAGCTACCAGGGCAACTGAGCTGGTAGGGGTTCGAATCTACAACACAACACAAGGCAAACCTCAAACCATAATGTCATTGTGTACTACAACATTATGCAGATACATGTTTCAAGCACATATATAATACTACCGATTTACCGACACATTTTTTTCATGCAATACTCACACGTTTTTGTTTCATGCATGTGTATGTAGATACTGGTGAAGGTGAGGGATATTACAACCTGACAGAGAAAGACTACCCAGCTCTGGAGTCCCAACCGTCACACCAGGTCGCAAACGTCTCCAGCTACCAGTTGAACTTCACCAAACAGTACTTCTACAACAATACTGGCTCGTTTGTCTTCACGGTGAGTGTTATAAACGCAGAGCGAGAAAATGCACTACGAATTCTTGTTTAAGCCTGTGTGGCAGCATTCACCTATATAGTCTCATGACTGCAGCACTAGCCAAGCTACTGATTAAGACTACTGTGAGGTAGCTGATTTGTTTTTGTTTTTTTTAGTACTGCTGGAGTAATTGACTAGAGATTCTCAACCTTCCACTCTCTCCTTTCCATGTGCTTCTTCCTTGTTTCTCCCTCTCTCTCTATATCCCTGTTATAGCCACTTAATCGCACCTTTCTCTCTCCCTCCCCCTCTCTCCCTCCCCCTCCATCAGTTCATACTGAAGCAGGAGCCCTCCTCCACGGACCAGATGTGGTACATCTCCTCATTCACCCACAGGAACCGCACCGCGACCGACCACTCAAACTCCTCCGATGTCTGCTCATTCTCCTACTCTGGGATGTCTGCCGTACACGCTCCATCTGACCTCACCTACTTCTGCTGTGAGCTGTACATACTACTTGTGCAATGTGGCTAAAGTTAGAAACTGTTACAAACCTAATTGCATTGTTGCACTGGGCCCTATGCTTCGTTCTCTTTTCTAAATTGGGGCAAGGGGGACAATTCTCCCCTCCCCCTCCATGAAAAGGTTTCTGGTGTAAATCTTCCAGTCTATCAGGGTATATCCGTTACCTTTTGTCTGTCATCAGAAACAATGAGGCTAGAAACACCAGTGGTCTCACATTATTGTATGTACAGGTGTATGTTGGAGCCCCGGAGAGGGTGTGGCAATTCTCCCGACCACTCCCACCGATGGGGGTTGGACTTTGGCGACAGCAGCTCCTGCCCTCGCAGTCTCCGAGATTGGCGTTGTGGGAGATGTGCAGTGGTAGCCTTGCGCGGTAGTGTAGTTCACCAGCCGCTTTGTACTGCTTTGTAGTATGGAGACTTAATGGACTGTAGAAATGTGTCCTTGATTTGTGTGAGAGTCATACTGTATGTACGTATGTTGGACACAGAGTGTGTTAATGCACAATTCAATCAACCTGAGGGCTTTGATGATCTTGTCATGTAGATTAGTAGGACATTCTCTTCTTTCGTGCTTTCATGTGACCTTCAACCAATCAGATCCTTCCATTTTGTTGCATGCAGTAGCTTGAAGGACTAGAAAGTGTGCATTAAGTTGTTAATTCACACTTTTCCACTTAATAACTCATTGGAGCCACACATTTCCATTCTCCCTTCTTTCCATATTGTGACTCATAAGAGGAGTGGCGACTATCTGCATATGTGCATATGTGTAGTGTATACTAGTGTTTCTCTAAGTTTCTCTAAGTTTTATTATGGCCTAGTATAGTAATCGAAAGGGATGGTAGTGCAGGGCTCTCCGAGGTAAATACTGGGTGTCTGACCTCTGCAATACATACTCTGGCATTTATGAACCGGGCCACACCTAACAACTGTGTGATCTATGTACTGTACATTGTAGGGTGGGCGTTTACCAGAATATTGCCACACGTGCACATTTCAACAGAGTTCTCAATTACATGGTGAATGCACCGCATGGGGAGTGTCTGACATAATATAGCAGCTGCTTGAAGCTACCTCACTGTCTCCCCTGTAATTTCAGACCTCACTGATTCACACAAACATTCAGTAGGGGGGTATATTATTACCCTATATCCATAGAAGGGACACATGTAATGCATCGGACTCTGTTTAGGTGTAGTGTACACGAGTATGGTCATTTTTGACTAATGAGAACCCAGCACCACTATGTGCTCTGTTTGATGTGTTTGTATGGTATGTAGCTGTGGTTCAAGGGACACCTTACAGCAAACATTCTAATTTCGACCTTGACTTGCCTCTCTTGGGAGTTAGAGAAATCCAAACTAATTTTGCACTCCCTCTTGCCCTCTCTCTGGCTTTTTTCTCCCTTCGCTCCCTTGCTCTTGTAAACGTTCTAATTTGGACCTTTACTTTCCTCTCTTGAGAGTTAGAGAAACCCAAACTACTTTTTGCACTCCCTCTTTCTCCTCTCTCTCCTCCCCTCTTCCTCTCTCTCCCTCTTCCCCTCTCTCTGTCTTTTTTCTCCCTTCGCTTCCTGTCATTTGCTCTTGTACACGTTCTAATTTGGACCTTTACTTTCCTCTCTTGAGAGTTAGAGAAACCCAAACTACCAGTAAATAGCACTGCTCACTCACTCTCTCTTCTCCCCTCTTCCCCCCTCTCCCTCTTCCCCTCTCTCTGTCTTTTTCCTCCCTTCTCTCCCTCTTCCTTCCCTCTCCCTTCTCTCCCTCTTCCTTCCCTCTCCCTTCTCTCCCTCTTCCTTCCCTCTCCCTTCTCTCCCTCTTCCTTCCCTCTCCCTTCTCTCCCTCTTCCTTCCCTCTCCTTCTCTCCCTCTTCCTTCCCTCACTCCCTTCTCTCTCCTCTTCACTAAAATGGAACTTCCCTCTCCCTTCTCTCCCTCTTCCTTCCCTCTCCCTCTGTCTCCCTCTCCCTTTTCCTCCCTTCTCTCCCTCTTCCTTCCCTCTCCCTCTGTCTCCATTTGTGTGCAGCTGGCATAGGGTTCAGAGGAGATTGTGTAGACAGCGAGATCAAATCTGAGGTTCAGTTTTCCGGGCTGTTCATTCAGGCCTTCCAGACCCCGAGCAGCAAATCCAGTGAGTAGGGATCACCATTCACCAGTGATATGAATTTTACTGTCATTAATTAACCCTTTGTTGACTGCAGCTTACGTAGACTGTGGAGCTAAAGACCACAACAACTCTATTGTAAGTCCAGAGACTTATCCATACACACCTAAATCGAAAAAATCTTTTTCTTGCTGTATAAAGGGCTAACGTACGTACAACGCTACACAATGTTGTTTCTAATAAGACAAAAGTCTCATGTAACTTCAGTGTATGGGTATGATGGGACCATGCAATGTGAAAATGGACGTTTATATCATACCCATACATTAAAGTTCATGCATGAGTCTTTTGTCTCGCCTAGCAAAGTTTCACCATGTTGTATGTGGCACACGCACAGCACAAAAAATAGAGACACAGAACGAAGAAGAAAAAGAAGAGAGCAGAAAGCAAGAACAAGCGGGAAAGAGCACGATAGATCAAGATCCAGTTTTCCAAACACTGCTAAGAACACAAGAAGCGGTTAATCATGACCAGACTAGAGTGTAAATGTTAAGTCAGAGAGATGACAGCAAGAGCAATACGCGGCACACATCAATGTAGATAGTCGAGAAGCAGCGAGAGAGAAAGAAAGGGAAAAACACGAGAACAAAGAAAGGGAGAAGAGAGGAGAGAGAGAGAGAGCGCGACGCAGACAGAGGAGAGCGCAAAGAGCACGCCAGAAGAGCAGGACTTAAAAGAAGCGAAAGAGAACGCAAAGAGAGAACAGCAGAGAGAAGAAATGAGAAGACCGAGCACGAAGAACACGAAGAAAGATTCACTACGCTACCGGCAGACCAAGCAGCCTAACGCTCGACACACGCTCCCGCCTGTCCTTCTCGTACCGCTCTCTATCTCTCGCTACTCTCTCACGCTCCTCCTCACTCCCTCGCCTCTCCAACAGATCGATGTGGTAGTTGGTTCAGTGATAGGAGCGACAATTGGTATAGCTATCATAATAATTGCGGCAACCCTGGTCATTAAGGTAATCGGGAAGAAGGTTCGGTGGAGGAAGTATAACTTGCTAGATGACTGAGTATTATTGTCCATTGGTTGTGTATATTTATTTTTGTGTCTCTAAACTATTAACGTGTGCAATTGTGTTTTTAAAGATTACAAATACGCACAAATATTTGCTGATACAAAACCCGCACATTAACTTGTGTGATTGTGATGTAACTGGTTTAATATTGGTCTTTGCAAAAGGGCTTATTTCAATGTTCTTTGAATAACCTTTGCAATGTGATCTCTGTAATAATACATGGGGGGACACTTTCATGTGAGGCTTGAATCAATGTTGAGCTGTCGTTGGTAGTCTGCTACACTATAATGACAAGGTGATGTACAACTGGTCCTGTGTTGGGTGGTACTGTATTGTGATGAATGTTGAGTGGTAAAGAGCTATTCGAAGTGCTGGAGTCCTCTGTTTTTACCACGTGTTGCCAAACACTACTACATATACTACTATTGTGGACCTAGCATTCAGGTGTACGTTGCAAGCTGCATGCGCTGTTGGTGTCGTGGATGATGTCACTGACCTGTGGTTGGGGCAGGATCCCAGTCTGTGTCTCCAACAATTCGAAGCCTTTTGCTCCCTTCCCTCCCCCGCTCTTTCTCAAACCTGGCTTCTTTTTAGGAGTGAGCTGGTATGAAATGCGATCCTCTTTATAACAAACCGCTCCATACTACACTACTGCTACTGCTGATGATTGCTTCATTACCTCTACATGATATATACTAGCTCCCTCTGAAACAATCAACGAGCCCTCTGAAAATTTCACCTTATTCTTCAGCAGGACCTGATGCTGTTTGTTATAATAATTGACACATCACGTGTTTACAGTACTTGGATGGTTTATAGCGACCGTATAGCACATAATAAATGTTTGGGGGACAAGAGGTATATAGAACACCATGCATGCTTGTTGTCAGTGGATGCTCTACAGAACAAAGAGAGACACGTCAGGGATGAAAACCGCCGTACACGCAGCTACACAGAGTCTGTCAAAGACACACCGAGAGGGCCAGCATGCCTGGAGACACCGCTGTAGCTAAACATGGCCAATTCGGACACACACACCTGCTGCCGAGCTAATAGAATAGAGCACTGTAGCTATGCAGGCTAACTGTGTGTGTGTGTGTGTGTGTGTGGACCATTGTGGCAACGTGTGCACTGTGGAGGTATGCCGAGTATCCTACGTGGGCCCTTCCAAGGAGTGGGTATATATGATCACTTATATTATATCATTGGCAGGTGACAGTCGGCCTGTGCAGTAACTGGTGTAGAGTGTATTACATTCTAGTGTTATTGGAATAAAGTGGGAGTACGACTGTTGTGCAATAACGATTGTCGGGTGTCGAAATCAAAAATCAATATATCCCTGTTACCTCTCGAAATAGATCTTGTTTGTTAATGATTCCTTCCTGTAACGAAGGCATTGAATTATACGGTAGATATAACAATTACCCCTCGATCATCTCCTCATCATCAGTAGTGTCAAGGGTGTTTGTAGAAATCTTTGAGAGTCATGGACATGGTGCCTTGGAGCTCCTGTTCGTAGCGCAGCAGCTGAACCACGAATCCGTCGTTGGGTTTGGCCGCAGCATGACACTTCTGCAAGTGCTCATGTGCCTCCCTGAGCGACCACTGCTTCTCCCTCATGAGGTAGGCAAGCACAATGGCCGAGGTACGCGACAACCCGTAGTTGGAGTGGACTAGAACTGTCTTATGTGTCCCTGGGGCAGAGTGTCTCTTCCTTCCCTCAGTCGCGTTTTCTGCCTTCGTCTTACTGGCTTTGTTGATGAACTCGAAACAAGTGTCAAAGTGTCCAGATATCTCCTCGTCCTCGTCGTCTTCTATTCCCACGTGAAAATGTTGGATGCCCATGTCTTTGAGAAAGGGCCCCGACTTATTGCCGGCCGGCACCTCTCCGTCAGTCGTCAAGTCGAGGACGAACGCCACGTGTTTCCCTCGCAAGAAGCCGGTGTTTCTGGCACTGGCCAAGTTACCCATCACCAGGTGCGGGAGTACCTCTGCAGCGTCCACCGTCTCGTAGAAAGACGTGCGATTGGCTGCGCGTGCGGAAGACTGCGGATTCTTTTGTCGCAGCGTGACGGGCGGGGGATCCACAGTCAACGTGGTTGCGGCAGTAGTCGCACCGTCTTTCTCTCCGGCGGTGGCTCCGTTTTCTCCTGCTGCAGTCTTTTCGTTCTGTATGGTACCGTTCTCGGCGGCCGCAGTGGCTCCGTTGTCGACTAGGACATCAACTGTAACCGTCGTCTCCTCCGGTGGAGCCGCCACGGGTTGCACGACCTTCTTGCCCTTTTTCGCTTTCTTTTTCTTCGATCCTGCTGGACCACCGCGTTTAGATCCACCGCTACCCATTTCGCTACTACACACTGCACGCACACGTCTGAGGTGCGTATATTATACGTACGCTTGCGCGTAGGCGTTACGTGCGCGCGCATGTGGTGGCGCCAATTTCAATAACACTTTACACTTGCCATGATCATGATTACTTATCCGAAATAGACTATACAGACGAAAAGACACTATGTCCTAATTTTGTCCTTCCGTGTTGTCTTGAACAGACTTCGAATCACAAATACCTGCAGCAGAGGGGCTCGCATGATGTGGTACATTTAGTAGCAGGTCAACCATTCAATAACACATGTCAACCATTCGTCAACACACCGTACAGACACACACACATGCATATTGCATGCACACACGCACGCACGCACAAGCACATGCAGACACACGCACGCACTCACGCACGCACTCACGCACGCACGCACAAGCACATGCAGACACACGCACTCACGCACGCACGCACGCACGCACGCACGCACGCACGCACGCACAGACGCACGCACGCACGCACGCACGCACGCACAAGCACACGCACGCACAAGCACACACACACAGCGGAACCAAGAAACATCTACATCTGATGCATTATACCAACACTGAAATAAATTCCACACTTATCCACAAAGTCAATATCTTTCATACTGTCTTTATGTACATTTATCATGGCATTCTGATGCATGAACATCTCATGACAGCAAGCAAAGCAAGTCCAAAGCAAGCAATTTAAAGACACCAAGGACAACACTTAGAATGTCCGGCAGTCCAGACAGACTGCTCTGCCACCTGAGCTATATACCAGGGCAGCTCAGCAGACAAGGCCCAAAGTCTAAAAAGGCCAACCCCAAGTGTGTAACAGGGGAATTTATAACTTAGCATAGGAGCAGACAAGGGAAATTAAACCACTGTGAATGACTTACTTTTAGCCCTTCCCCTTCTGTATTTTCCCCCTCCCTCCCTCCCTCCCTTCCTCTCTCCTCCCTCTCTCCCCCCCTCCCTCCCTCCCTCCCTCCCTCATACATTCTGAACCACTCTCCATTAAATCTCTGTTTCCCTCCCACCTGCAGGATTCCCACAGTGACGATAACACTGATCTCGAGGAAAGACCACCAGAACACGCGGACATGGCTGCTCTCGACCGTGTGCCTGTGACGCGATTCTCTGGCCTTGAAGAAGTGCTGATGCGTCGTCACTTTGTTCAGCTTGTCTCCTATGGTGTTCAGCTTTTTCTGTACACACACACACACACACACACGAAAAAAAGAGAGGGGTAGAGGGGAGAGGGGGTGAAAATGAGCAAATAGTAGACCCCTGGTTGATGTTTAGAAGCTAGTATATACACTTTGACAATTTCAAAATAATGAAAGATGGGTTTCGTTTAATTGGAACGGACTTGACCTTTGCCCTTTTCTGCTGCAGATTAAGGGAATGTGTCAGTACATAAAGGCTAAATTTACTAAAGATCAAACTAAACAATAGCACCCAGTGCAAGAATTCAATCATGTGTATGTTCTGTTTTTCAGTAACAGTTTCTAAAATTTAGCCCTTGTAAGTGCCACACCCCTCTTTTAACACAACAATTCTGTATCGCAATACAGAGTAAAAAAAACAACCAGGAATTGTAGGCATATTCGACATCTGGACTGGCCACTGAACTGTCATTACCAATGTACAGTAACAACGTATCCTTATAACGTAGACAATTGTTGCACGCATACATGAGTTCAAGTATGTTTGTTCGCGCTGAGAATGCACCTTGAAAAACTAGAATAACTTCCGATTCCAGCACCCTATGCGGCCACGCTTGGTATCAAAATGTAGCACTTCACACTCTGGTTCGTTCAGCACTTACCTCGTTCAAATCCGCCACGTAGTTTTTTCGCTACGCACGTTATGCCTTAATCCCATACATTTCTACAGCATACTTTTCCCATACATTTCTACAGCATACTTTTCCCATACATTTCTACGGGCGAATAGTACCGCCCTCCTCATTATCTACTTCCACATGCATTCTCAGCGCGAACGTACTTTAGTCTTAGTCCTTGGCCCCGAGTCTTGGTCTTCGGCCCCCGAGTCTGGCAAACTGCTTTACAAATGTTTTATCTCAAACTTATAAACCAGGAGCCCAGTTAAGCCCACTTGCAATCTATGTGCATTGCGCACAATTTCGCCCGATTGTCAATGAGTTGAACAAAGATACTCCTTCAGTGTAGACCTGTGGATATCTTTCTACTTGGACTGATGTTTGACAACCCAGAAAGCCAGATGTACATGAAGAAAATACCATGTGACGCCAAGAGAAAAAAGATGTGGAGCTCTGGACAGCTGTTTCGGGCTTGTTGGCCCTCATCAGCAGAGCATACCGCAACTTCTCTCTCTGGCATCACGAGTTTATAATGGCTGCCATGAGCGCAGCACTTGTGGTTTTGAACTAATGAGATTCATCACCACAAGGCACATGTACATGGGAAGATTATAACTCCACTGTTTGAACTTCAGTCGTGCAGTGTGTTGTGCCATGTACCGGGCATATGGCCGATACCAACAAAACACGAGCAGTACCGTAAGATCTTCGCCATTATGGCAACCAACCATGATTTATGTAACTGTATATATGATTACTGTTCCTGTCATCATAGCACAAGTAATAGGCCTAACATGGCACTAGCTCCCTATGATGGGAGCAACCAGTGACAAACATGTTTAGTTCCACGCCAGTGACAATACCACGTACTTACACCCTCTGGTCCCACACAAACACTAAATATAAATCTACCCCATTATAACTGTAACTCAATACCATTGAGCTGGCCCCATACAGTGTATAATATTATGTCAACTATGACGCTTCAAAGCACAGCAAAGCTGGAGCAGACACCAGGGCAACTGTTTTTCCAAGGAAAAAGAACTCCCCTGGGTGAAATTCGAACCCATGACACTCTGCAGGCTAAACTAGCACAGTAGGCTGCTCAAATCGGTTACACAATGCGACACAAGACAAAGACACAGCTCTTAACTGTTCTACGCCACGGTATACCCTCACTCGGTATGTGGGAGCAGACCGGGGTAATTAAACCACCAATGACGCCCAACTCCTAACTTTAAGTATGTACACGTCAACTACGCGGTTGCAAAGCAAACAGAGGCAAACAACACAATTAACACAACTCTGCGTTAGCCGTATACTAGAAACTAATGCAAGACGTATTTGGTGAGTGTACGCGTGAGCCCCATACACCATTGCGAAATTTCACTTCCGTTTCGTTTATTTAGAGTCATTACGGTATGTCGGACAGTGTCCTCATTGGATGCACACAATCATACATGTGTCAACAGTGAGGTAGAAAGGCAAAGGCAAAGCAAACAAGTCAACTGCACCCAGGACGGCTCTTTTATCAAGGAGCTGCCTTGGGTGGGTGGGATTTCAACCCACGACACTCTGCAGTCTAGGCGAGTGCTCTACCAACTGAGCTTCCAGGTTAACTGAGCTGGTAGGGGTTAAAATCTTCAACACAAGACAAAGGCAAACCTCAAACCACTGTCCCGGCACAGTATACTTTCACTCAGTATATCACGCATTCAGATAACTACACTATGCTTGCCAACCTTCATGTCCTGGACCTGTACATCGATAGCAATGGCCTCTTTGGTGAGCTGATAGGGCACAATCTGCTCCTTCTCTCCCTCCTCCCCCGCATCATCCTCAATGATGATGTCCAGGAACAGCAGCTTATCTGATGTATAGTTCTTCGGTAAATACACGATACAATTATGGATACATGATGAACTTGCACGTGTAACACCTTTGAGTGAAATAAAAGGGTCTCGTGGAGAAGGGAAGAGGCAAATACTCGTCCCTCCTCCTAAAATTGCCTCTATTATAGTAGTGACGGGTTTATTAAAGGGAAGGAGAGACGGAGGGAGAGAGGGAGGGGGCCGAAGAAAGGGCAATGGAAAGATATGAGAGGGATACAATTAGCAAAGAACAGGGAGGCAGGGAGGGAGAAATGGAATGAGTGTAAAAAGAAGGGGTATATAGCCAATTAGCTGACAACGCAGCCAGAATAATGGGTGGAGGGGGTGTGGAGAAAGAGAGACGAAAATTGGAAGCGTTTGTGAAGAGAAGAGAGAGGAAAGAGGGTAGATGCATTACTGGGCATGCTGCTGGAAGAGTATTACCGGACATGCTGCTGGAGGAGTATTACCTGACATGCTACTAGAGGAGCATTACCGGACATGCTGCTGGAGGAGCATTACCGGACATGCTGCTGGAGGAGCATTACCGGACATGCTGCTAGAGGAGTATTACCGGACATGCTGCTAGAGGAGTATTACCGGACATGCTGCTAGAGGAGCATTACCGGACATGCTGCTAGAGGATCATTACCGGACATGCTGCTAGAGGAGCATTACCGGACATGCTGCTAGAGGAGCATTACCGGACATGCTGCTAGAGGAGTATTACCGGACATGCTGCTAGAGGAGCATTACCGAACATGCTGCTAGAGGAGCATTACCGAACATGCTGCTAGAGGATCATTACCGGACATGCTGCTAGAGGAGCATTACCGGACATGCTGCTAGAGGAGCATTACCGGACATGCTGCTAGAGGAGTATTACCGGACATGCTGCTAGAGGATCATTACCGGACATGCTGCTAGAGGAGCATTACCGGACATGCTGCTGGAGGAGTATTACCGGACATGCTGCTAGAGGAGCATTACCGGACAAGCTGCTAGAGGAGTATTACCGGACATGCTGCTAGAGGAGCATTACCGAACATGCTGCTAGAGGATCATTACCGGACATGCTGCTAGAGGAGCATTACCGGACATGCTGCTAGAGGAGCATTACCGAAATGCTGCTAGAGGAGTATGACCGGACATGCTGCTAGAGGATCATACCGACCATGCTGCTAGAGGAGCATTACCGGACATGCTGCTGGAGGAGTATTACCGGACATGTGCTAGAGGAGCATTACGGACAAGCTGCTAGAGGAGTATTACCGGACATGCTGCTAGAGGAGCATTACCGAACATGCTGCTAGAGGATCATTACCGGACATGCTGCTAGAGGAGCATTACCGGACAAGCTGCTAAAGGAGTTGTCGAGGCAGATCTCGTACTCTCCAGTCTTCTTGACGTCCAGTCCGTGGAGACCGTCCATGCTGCGAGGCTCCATCACCACAGGGTGTCTCTCCGGGTCAGACACCACAAAATTGATGTCCAGATTTCCTCCATCTATCACCTAGTAGTAAGAGAGACCATGGGGAGCATCATGACAAACAATAGCCTCGTTCCCAGGCCCTTTTTCTCTTTTTCCCGGGAACGAGGCTAGACAAATCACGGTGGAGAAAGGGGGGTGGAGGTCTGTAAACCTGTTTAACCCTTTGGACGCCATGTGTATCTGCAGAAAATCATGTATTAAACTAGTGTACTATAACCCCAATATAAATTCTTTTGGACTTATTGTGCCTTTTTAAGTGTTAGTGGCTGGTTGTGTTAAAAAAATTAGGGTTGTCAGCCCTCACGAGAAGAGTATAAGTAGCCCTCATGAGCAGAGTATAAGTATCCCCATGAGAAGAGTATAAGTAGCCCTCATGAGCAGAGTATAAGTAGCCCTCATGAGCAGGGTACAAGTAGCCCTCATGAGCAGGGTACAAGTACATATACTGCACTCCTCCTCTCCGGGCATCAGAGGTTATAACGGTTGTCATAGTAGGAAGAAGGAGCAGATGTGCCTTAATCACTGACTGGCCTTATTGTTGTGGGTTTTAGGGAGTCATAGATGTTCTTGGCACAAGCTAGCTATATATACAGGGACAAGGGGTTTTCCTATTGAGGTATATATAATACTTACGTGCAAATTTAGGGGCAAGGGGTAATTAATTGGGAGGGGCAGTATACGCAAATGGGGCTTGCACTTTTAATTTCCGGCATTTTCATGGCATGATTTGCTTTCTCGCTCCAACCTACAGGAGAAGTCCAGGCCCTTTCTAACAATCATGGGCCTTGTTCCTTGTTTGACATAATTATTCTCAGCTAAAATAAAGTGGACCCTCGCCACTCCAAGCCTCTGAAATGCAGCCACCTCGCTAAAGCAGCCAGTGTCTTATGAACGGATTGACCAACCTTCGCATGTTTCTCGTAACACCCTGAGTTCCAGCTACCTCACTAGCCCAGCCACTTTTTCAGGTCCAAGTTGTGGCTGGAATAGCGAGGTTCCACTGCATTTCCCATGGTTTACTGACTACCACGAGAGGGAGGATTATGGAATTACGGAAGAAGGCACTAGAGGTTGGCCACGCGCAAAAATGAACGAAAGAGAGCAATGCTCACCTGGTACTCTATTTCTAGGAAGGCTCCTTCGTGAATGTAGTCGTAGAAACACTCGGAGCGGCCGGCACCTATCCTGAAAGTGAAGGTGAAGTCTCTTGCCCAGCAACACGGGCTCAGCACGGCCAGCACCACCAGGCAAACCGCCTTCCACCGGAACGCCATCTTCCACGCTTCTAAAAGACGCCTCTCCGACAAGGATAAAGGTCAAACGATAAACATTTTAGAGAGGCCGGGCACAAATAATATTTTTCACGCTAAAACACCATTGCTACATAGTCAAACACTCATCTATATGCCATCAGGAGGAAAATTTGAACTGTAGCTAGTCGGAATCCGAGCTGCTACTGCTACTACTACTGCTACTACTGCTGCTTGAATGTCTTTTCTTCTTCTTTGTGTGGTCAACTTTCTTCTTCCTCTTGTCAGGAGACGGTTTCTTGAGCCTGTCAGTGTTGACCTTTGGCACTTTGAACTTGAGTGGACCAACGTCCACTTTGAGCCCCTCCTCTTTGCCCACCTCCTTCCCCTCCTTCTCCTTTTTGTGGTGCTTCTTTTCCCCCTTCTTGGTCTTCTTCTTGTGTTCGCTGCTGCCATCCTTAGAGGTCAGGCTGTCTCCGTGTGGTACATGGTGTGGAGACGTGGGTACAGGAGGAGGGTAGCCAGGGTACCCCTACAATTAATAATTGAAATTAAATGACTGGAAACTGGATTGGCTGCTAACTTTCATCATGGATTTTCAAGTGCAGTTTTACATGATACAATAATTATAGATATTGTCCTAAAAAGGTTCTTAAATTTTAACGATAAGCGACAGGGCTATATAGGGGTTAGACTCGACAATGGAAAGACAATGGAATACGTTAGGAGTACCATGTCATTTTTTAACAGTTGACTCTCATTACAGTGACCCCCCCCTATATACTTGTGGTATTGAAAGGCTATTCACAGGAAAGGTTATTAAATGTCAATGTGACTTAAAAGCTATCTCTGTCTCTAATCCACCAGACACCAATGGTATAGAGTTAAGTGTCCTTATTATCGAGAGATGTGTCCTTTTGGGGGGTTGCAATAAACTGTTGTAGGGGGGAAATGTATATAGAGAGGTGTCCTCATTTCAGGGGGGGTTCACTGTATAGGGTTAATAACTGATATGTTTAGTTTGGAAAGCATGATAAGCGATCTTTTCAAGACAGAATTTTGAAGTAAACATCAACTCAGAGATATGAACAAAACTCTGACCGCAGGGGTTACTGGAGACGTATAGAATCCACCAGGAGGAGGAGGAGGGAGGTGGGAGGTGGGGTAAGGCTGAGTGGGGTACCCCATGGGATACTGTTGAGGAGGGTACCCAGTGGGGTACGGCTGAGGGGGGTAGCCACCAGGGTAGGCAGCCTGCAAAACAGAAGATAGAGAAATGGCACTGTCTTAGGTTTCAATCTGTGACACAAAACTTTCTTTGAAGATTCAGTATGGTGGTTGAAGCAAGCCAATCTAGTGAACCAATGCTACCTACTCATCCGCTTTGCTACATTTGGCAATGCATGTGCAAGCATCGTGTACAGCAGAAGGTCTTTGCTTGTGTTTGCTTGCTAAAAAAGCATTGCAGTTGATCTAGTAGAAAGAAGGTCTGTGTTACCCGGTATTTGTGTGTATTCGAACAAGATGGGTTTATCAGAACACACAGATTTGTTTTTGCTGTATACTGTATGACTAGATATACAATTGCGACACTTGGACTTTTTGGATTCAAGGGAAACTTCTGTGTGTAGTTAATTAAGACCTATCTGCAGTTTGGTTTTCTAGGATTCACATTCTAGAGCCCTTACTCTGACTTTGGCCATAAACATTATCTGCAGTCAGGACTTTTCCCTTTTGAACATTGATAACATTATATATATATATATACCACATGATGTATATACCTGTATGCAGTAACATATATAGAGAATCAACAGTGCTACAAAGAGACGAATAGCAAAATGTTCCTGCTATACAGTGGAACCTCTGATAAGGGACCCTCCGAGATGTAGGGACGACCTCTCTACAAAGGACACTTGTTTCAACCCCATGCTATATAGACGGTTTGACCTCTAAGAGAGGGACGACCTCTCTACAACGGACAAAATCGCTGGCCCCATAGTGTCCCTTGTTTGGAGGTTCCACTGTATAGCTAACTCACCGGAGGGTGGTGCTGTTGTGGAGGCGGTGGAGGATATGAGGAGGTGGTCATTGGTGGATACGGTAGCGACGATGACTGTGGAGGAGGACACGTCGCTCCACTGGTGGTACTCCCACCCTCTCCTCGTCCCGCTCCAAAAATCGTCGACGACGGCTGCTGCGACATCTGCCGGTGCGGTGTGTAAGAGAGTGCGCCGAAGTGTATACGTCTCTCGGCGCATGCGCATTTTATATGCAGAAGTGTCGTAAAAATAGAGCAGTCGATATCTAGTGACGTGACTTACGGTGGTATGTAATTAATGATTATCATTTCACATAATCAGCAGTTCAGTTGGTTTGTCGTCTCCAGAAGAAGAAAGGCTAGTTGGTTGCAGGATCAATAAGGAGATTGTGTAGTAGCAGAAAGAAGCAAGAGACAGCTCGGGGTTCCTTGCTGCACTGTCGCGAAAGTGAGTTTCCTTCCAGCAAATGCTTGCAATAACACTGGTTGGTTAGCTACTAGCTGTGTGTGTACGCATTCACTACCTGTCTGTGTTCACACACACACGGACTCCTAACTGGTCCTGACCGACCTAGGCCCTAGAGATTGTTGTGTGCGTTCGTCTGCCGCGTCTGCCGGTTCTTCGACACTGACTTGTAAGCTAAAAATGCAACGGACGTTTTTTTGCCTCTCTAACTCTCGAATGTGGACGTCTGCAACCCCGAGTCGAGCAGTCTCAGAGTTTTAATCACTACAAGAGAACCAGTAACGCTGCAGGTTTCGTCCACAAGCGGTCTACACGATATCTTACAAAATATACAGATTTGCTTGTAGCTACAGTTGTAGTGCGTTCTCAAGGCTGGGCACCCAGGGTCCTGCCTCTTTCTTTCTGTTTATATGTTATTGTCTGTGTTTTTGTACGCTTGGGTATGTTATTGTCTGTGTTTTGTGTGCTTGGGTGGGGGAGGTTCTTTCTTTTCCTCTGAGCTAGTATGCTATAAACATGTTTTTTCATGCTTATTATGATAGACACAGGCTTTTCATGTGTGCGAACAACGAAGCTGAGACACAGATAAAGCAAAATTCAAGTGGAGTCAGTGCGGTGGAAGAGTGGGAATGCATAGCATAACACCTCAGCAAAGAAAACTTGCTTACACATCCACTTGTCAGCACATAAGTAGCCTGTCAAGTGGGTAGGGGTATAGCCTAGCACTGTGAACGATGAATTCGACTTTTTAGAGATCTATCAGATAGGACTTTTTAGTTCCCTCTCTGTGCCTCTTGGTTGACGGTTCGATGAGATAGTGTCTGTGTCGACTCAAAGCCCCAAGTACTGACTACATCATTCTACTGTAATGAATCTCACCACTCTGCATACCCTCACCAACTGGTTGGTATCTAAACATGTGCTGCCATGCACATCTGCCCACACACTCACACACAAACAATGCAATAGCGACCACCAAAGTGTAGCTGAGGTCTCTACTGTTTCATCTGGAATAGATTGTATAGGAGGAGTTTAAAACCCTGCGTTGTTTTGTTGTCTTTGAATGTAAGCTCTCTGCCTTTGTTCTGTGTTTTTCTTTCCTCCTAACACCCACATACCATCCCCCTTCTGTTTCTTTCTCCCTCTCTCTCCCTCCTCCCTCTCCCTCCTCTCTCTCCCTCCTCTCTCTCCCTCCCTCTTCCTCCCTCCTCTCCCTCCCCTCTCTCCCTCCTCTCCCTCCCTCTTCCTCCCTCCTCTCTCTCCTCTCCCTCCCTCTCTCTCCCTCCCTCCGTCCCTCCCTCCCCGTCTCTCCAGCACTAGGGTCTATTAGCTCCACGACCACCTCCCACCCTCCCCCACCTCCCCATGTCCACCCCAGCAGAGACCTCAGTCTCGGTCTCCCCCCTCTCCCTTCGGAGATGGTGGCTCCACCCCTATACCAGTGGGTAAACCTCCGGGCAGCCCTCAGGGTATGGAGAACGCCTTCAAAAAGAGAAAGTGCTTTGGTGAGCGGGTGTGGTCAGTAATCTCTTTGTAATCCGTATTGTGAAGTCAGTAATCTCTTCGTGATTTACATAAGAGGGTCAGTAATATCTTGTACTGTGGAGTGCGTTAGTCAGTAATCTCTTGAGATAGTTAGTAATTTCTTGTATTCTGTGCTGGTTTAGATGTTCTGTGCTGGATAGTCAGTGTCCACTTTTTTAGTAACTTGAACTGGCGGTGGGTAAACAATCTAAGGTATCTGTTGAAAGAAAGGGAGTAATCATATGCTACTAAATAAGTACATACGTTTGGGACAGATCGGTAGCTATTCTGTGTGTGTGCTGTTGGGAAAATCGAGCTCTGTGTATGCCTTTGTGGGTTATAGACGGACACTGCAGAAAACACACACACAGAGAGAGTTTGTGCTATTGGGAAAGGAACTCTGTGTATGCCTCTGTGGTTTGGTAACATTTTACTCGTGTGTGTGTTTTGTGCACTTACCTTATTGCCGAGTGCGTTAGCGTGAGGCAACTACTCCAGGTTGTATTCTCGTGATATGCGTACGTACGTGTCGTCACGCTTAAGAATGCCAATTAGCACGCTTAGGAATGTCACTTCCGTCATTCGTAGGAAGTCTAGCTTCCGCCGTGCGCGCAGATTCGTAGGAAGTCTAGCTTCGCGCGCAGTCAGTAGAGCTCGCCCACGAGCGGCCTCAGTCGGGCATTGGCTGGCAGGCGCGAGGCAAAATATGCGCGTGCGCATTCCTAGTAATAGTGTATATAGGCAAACACAGGTACAGACAGTTTACAAGCTGAATAGGGAAATCAATGAACACTATATGGTATGTTTGTGTTGCTCTCTACTGTTGCTTTGTCTGTGTCTGTGAGCTGAGAATAATTGCATGTGGGAAATTCACACTCTGAATTTCCGAGTAACTCTTACACCTTGAGATTCACATAGTTTGGCACGGTTTGCTGCACACAATAACCCCCTGCCTGCACACTACAGTGTGTACTGCTGTAGTCTCACCTTTGCGCCTGTTTATGCAGTGTGTGGGTGTTAATTATACCTTCCTTAGACACTTCAGCTGCTAGCTCAGCTGCTCAGGGACTGAATATCATTAGTCACTCCATAGTTCAGCTAACACCTACTAGTCGCCCAGTACAACATTCTGTAACCTTTGCGCTGCCTTGTATGATAAACCCCAGTGTTATGTCACACTACCTCACACTTAGAATTGTGGAGTAAGATGCCTGTGATGTCAGAGCACATATTGCACTTGTGTATGATGTCACTGCATATCTGCACTTAGACTGTTATAGAGACAGTGAGTCCGTGAGACGCCTTGTGTTGTGGCATTCTGAGTGCAGCGAGGACGCTACGTAAAGGGATTCATACGGCATGTAGGCAAGGATTCGCTCGCTTCCTTCATTGCTTGAGTGATCGGCCACGATCGGTGTGATCTTGGCCCTGGTCCGGCAAGCCATCTCTTCACAACTTCTCTTGAGCCTCGAACGAGATGCCAAACTTATTTCGTACGTACTGCAATTGACGTGCACTTGTTTTGACGCGTGCTAGTACTTGCCTATGATGCAAGTGTACGGTCGTCTTTGTTTGATGAGGTAATAATGAAATGAGCCGCTGCTGACTGAGTGTGGGAGAGAAGTTGGGACAGAAGCTTGTTATGGCACTCTGGAATTCCTGTAGTATAGTATGTACGGACCCACATCAAGGGGCTGTGGCGAGAGACCGCTGTGACGTGGGCTTATTTGGGAGAGAGTTGAATCCTCTCTGATTCTATCCTCTGCTTCCTCTACATATCCTCCCACCTCTGCTCTCTCCTTTCCCCGATCCCCTCTCTGTTTGTACAACTGCTTCTGGCTTTCGGCTCTCCCTCTCCACGCACTGTTCTGAGTGCTTGGTGAATGGTTCTGTTACTATGGCTACCTCTTGGTATTTCACATTCATACCTCTCTGCCACACTGTTCTTTTCTTTCCTCTCTTGCCGTTTCTCCCACTCACAACTCCCCATTTCTCCTTCTCCTCTCCCGTTTCGTTTATAATGGATAAAATCATGCTCTCCACCCTCCCTCCGTCTCTCTCCCCATCTTTCTCCCCTCACTTCCACTCACAGCTGATAGAAAAAGAGACGTGGATGAAATAGCCAAGCGGCATCCAAACAAAGTCCCAGTGAGTTATTATACTAAATTAAAAACCTCCACTTACAAATTTCTCTTAACCCCCAACACTTCTATACTCTCCTTCCTCTTTCTCTTCCCTGCGTCCCTCAGCTGATAGTGGAGCGTGGTAGGAGGGAGAAACACTTGCCGCTGTTGGACAAGTCAAAGTTTCTAGTTCCCGAGGAGTTGAACATGATGCCAACTCACGGCCATCATCCGGTGAGATCTCCGAGTTTTTTGGTTCACAATCTCCCTCCCTCAATCTTTCTGTTGGGCGTGTTCCCACCTACGTGCGTATCTTTGTGAAAATTGATGGTCCAAATTCATAATAGTTAGACATCGAGTCTACGTGAAGAGCCCGAGGGCGTCTAACACTCATGGATTTCAATGGACGATGTGTCCAACTTATGTCATGTGCACTTTGAATGTGTTGCATGGGAAAACAGCACTGGGGGCATTTAGTAAAGTTATTACAAGATTTAGCAAACACGTTTTTATGCATTAGTGCATATTATTATGTTGTCAGACGCATGGTGGAATTGTGTGTGCGTGGAAAAGCTAAGGGGGTTGGGATTGTTGTTGCCTTCTCGCTATGCAGGTACTAAAACACAATGAAAAGCACTTGAAAGTGCATAACCGTCGCCACTGTTGATTATGCAGCTCCAATAGTAGTTTATTAGAGCCTACATTCAGCAGCCAATGGCTACTAGCTACAATACCTCAGTGACTCCTTCACTGAACAGATTCGCTCCCTGCGCACAGGCGAGGGTTAATGATTTCATGACACATAATAAACCACCAAACACATCAGTCTGATCAAACTAAGGGGCTTCCCCCTTAAGCTGTTCTTGCATGCAAATTAACTCCCACACCTCATGAATATGGCCACTGTCTTTGTCCTACTGGAAGCCGAATTAGAGGGTTTCACTGTTTATACTACACTAACTATTCTAAATGCAGCCCACTTTATATACTTGCCCTACCGCCTGCCCCTCCCTCCCCGTTCCCCCTCCTCCCCCCAGACAAAGGCTACAGCTAACAGATTCCCAGGCATTCTACCTCCTCATTAATGGCCGTACGATGGCAGGGGCGTCCATGATGCTACGTGACGTGTACTCCTCAGACAAGGACGACGACGGATTTCTCTACTGCACATACACCTCTCAGGAGGCCTTTGGCTGAACTCTCTCTAGTCCCGGTCTAGATGCACCATATATTATACCCACAGTATTTTATCTTCTTGACTGATTTGCACACTGTCATTTTGTGTGCCTCCATGTATATATACCGTCTGTGCATGTGTCTTCAGTGTTTGTGAGGTTTGTGCCTGCTTCAATTGTGTGTGTTTGGACCAATTTGTGTTTGTATGTGTGTGTGTGTGTGTGTGTGTGTGTATATGTTGACTCCATACTATACGCTGTCAGAGTTTTTGAATCTTTGCCCCATAATCATTTGAGACATCGAGTGATATTTTGTGTGTTTTTGCTCAGGCAGTAGTAAAAAAATCTATGATGTTTAATGATAATTAGACTGCCATGAGTTAACATAGGACATAATATAAGGACTGCAGGTTGTGGCGGGGGAAGTACAGAGGCTTAGTCCCGCCCCCTCCACCATTGTACCTCATCTGCCAAGCCAGCAAAAGGCCCAGCAAGGATCATTTGGAGAATGCTTAAAGGGTATGGCAGCAGACCGATTAGCAAGGTTGATCACCAGGCATGTGCACTGGCTAGCGAATGCGCATACACTGGGGCAGGTAACCACCGTGGCCAGCATTTGCAGCGAGTCCTGGCAGCAGCACAAACTGCTAGCAGTTCCAGCAGGAATTCAGGCTGTGTTGGCTCAAGAACACTACTATTGTTTTTTCTTTTCCCCTCTCCCTTCCTCCCTGGGTATTTTTTCCTTACCTCTCTCTGTCTATTCCCTGATGTGGCCACCGTGCAAAGGGTCATATAGGGTTATGGGTAGTGATGCCTTTGCTGGCTGGATACCCCATGCTCCATGGGGTCCCAATAAAGGGGTGTGGTGAATAAGGTAATGTTTTGTGTCTTAGGCTCAATGAAAGGGGCAAGCATAGCGAAAGAACCAATTAACAGGGGCACGAGCAAATTAACCCCTCGGCCTAGCGTGCCCGTAATCAGTGCAAAATGAGCAAGTGACCCTTGCATGACACCTCAAACACCAACCCCCATTAACTAATGAGGGTTGGGGTGTAAGCTATCCCTATATACAAATAGGTCTCTATAAAATCATGTGAGGCAGGAGGCATGTGCCAAAGTAGATCTTTGTGACACGGATTACTTTGGCGATTCTAGCCTTTTCCCTTTCTCGCAGTGCTTGCTTTCCTCCTATTTGTCCTCCTCATTCTATTAGCAGAGGCCTTTGTTGGGTATTCATCGTCATTATGAGAGCGGGCGAACACTTTAATGATTCTAGACCAGCTCGGAGGGACAAGTACAAAGCAGCGAAAAGGACGTGCTGTATGTACACACGCCCACTAGGACGACACGCGCATGCGTAAGGCGTCGCGCGAACTACGCATGCGCAGGGTGGTGAACCGGGAGTGGTCGATCTAGGCTCTGTTTACGGGCCGGGCGCGGTTTGTGCGTCGCATAAAACTCTCGCACTCTCTCCACCGATCTATATACCTCCCGCGGATTAGAATATTCCTGAACGCAAAACAGCATCGTGCGGGGAAAGACGTGAAGCAAAAACAAGCTGGTCATGGCTGAAACGACGGGTGAGGTCGTTCACAGAGTCCCCATCAAAGAAGATTTTGAAGGTGATGGCGTTTAGCTACATTCGCACTGCGCCTAAGAGCTGGTTTTGAAAACTCAATGCGCTCAGTATAATAATCTACCAGTAGCGTAACTAGCTACTGCTGCTATTCAGTTTTCAATGAAAGATGTGAAGTGTGTGTGGGAGGACGTATTGAATGCCTGAAGCTCAGTACTAAACAAGCTATGGCAATAGCCAGCATGTAATGTAACAATAGCATTAGCGCTAGCTGCATTCAATTGCCCCTCAATGATATGACTCTCACGTGACTTGTTCTCTGCTCTGCTGTGGGTATAGGCCGACATGGAGTGGCATACCATGAGGTCCGCAGCAAGTATCGAGAGCCTCAGAACATCCAAGAGTCCTTCCAGGTCAGTTACAGTAGTTCCCTAACAAGTTCTCGAATCTATGTTGCTTGCATTGCCTGTGTTTCAAAACGTTCATTTATGGTGGTGTTTGTTGCAAAACGTTGTCTATTATCTGGAAAATATTATCATCTGGCTACATTTGCTGTTGTTTTTGCAATGGGAAATTTTAGTGTACACAGAGAGTGTTACGATAAGCTCTGAAATCATAGATATTTTATCGATTGGGACAGTGTGATATTCACTTTGCAATTACTTTCTGAGTGTAAGGCTGTCTATGACCACATGCACACACAATTTTCTGGTAGAATGACTCTAGTTCACAGGTATACTCAACACGTGTGTAATAGCTGGTGTACCACTCACATCCATCTCTCTCTCGAGTGACCGTTACGTAATCACCACTGATACCGATGATTACAGAGTGCCGGAATCCCAATGCATGCAAATCCGATTTCTTTCAGGAATTCAGTCGTACGGTGATTTGCATACCGTGCTGAACTAGTCTCTCTCTCGCACAATATGGTACAGTGCGTTTACACATCAACAGCGGTATGCAACGGTATGCAACACTGGCAGCGGTGGGTTTCCTCGGTTAAGCTCTTGTTCTTCTTCTTGGGGCTGTGATATGGTGTCGACTGGCTACAGAGGAATGTAGCAAGCAGCAGTGAGCTAATGCAGGTTGGATGCCAATCTTGGGTGGACCTCAGAATGCAGTCTGCCATACCTTCGTCTCTTACTCTCCTTAGACTGACTTCTTCTCCACACTAACCTAGCTTACAATCCTGTAAGGATATATAGCTACTTTCCACATTTTTAATCATCAGCTCGCTACTTCATGCAATCTTTGCTGACTCTTTACAAGGCAAACCAAGTATTGGGCCATGGAGTATAACTTGACTATTGGAAATTTGTTTTTAAAGCACACTATAACGTTTTTTGATTTGATTTTGGAGTAGCTAGGCAGATTACAAAAACAAAGTCGGTTTGTTTTGCTGTGTGTGCACACATAACCAAATACGTTTGCCATGCACACACTACACACTGTGTCATTTTTATGCCGGATAACCATCCCCGTTGCCAGGCAGTGGCTCGACTGTGACACTGAAATTCAGTTGAAATTCCAGTCATGCCAAGGTGTGTCACACCACACCATGCGAACCCCTACCAGTGGGTATCCCTTCAAAACCTCCTCCTGGAAGGTTGTTAGTTTTTGGTAAAACTTCTTATATATAAGTGTTCCAGGTGTAATATTTCTGAGGAATTGTCAGAAGAGACGCAGTGTGTGCAAACATGTAAAGCTAGGAGAGTTGGAGAGTTTCTAGTAACACACAGTTATTTCAGCCTTAGGACTCTCTCTAAAACATGCGACTCCCATGTGTACACAATACTCTGCCTAGTAGACACCTTTGGGAGAGAGCTGCATTATGGTGTTATGATCTTATGATTTGTGGATTGCTCTAAGACATTCTCTTCAAAACTCTTACTCTGTGGCAACTGCATAGTGCACTAGTGGAATATAAACTGGATTTGAGTGTAACTTTACTCATGATGTCATAGGTTGCACTGGAAGTGCTGGACATTCTGTTCTCCAACAAAGTCCTCCACCAAAATGAGAACAAGTCGAAACGGATCCGCACGCAGCTGCAGAACCAGACGGTGGCCATCTCTGTCCTGGGGAGACATGGTGTGGGCAAGAGCACACTTCTTGATTCGCTCCTTATGCAGAGGTGAGGTGGGGAGAGAGAGGGAGGGAGTGGGGGAGGGAAGGAGAGAGGGAGTGGGGAAGGGAGGGAGGGATAGGGATGGGGAAGAGGGAGAATCAGATGTGTGATTTACTATACAGAGAGGAATGGTGGTAATACGTACGTAGACAGCTATGTGAAATCTTGAGTTTATAGTGATGTTATTAGGGAGCTGGGCTATTTTAGCTGTTGGTGGAGGTGACACGAGTAAGATTGTGGGAGTTTACAAGTTGGACAAGCCTCATTTCCTGCTAATACTTATCTTCGAGATTCTCACTACATTCCTTCTTACCCCACCACCTCTCTCTCTCCTTCCCTCCCTCCCTCTTTCCTTCCCTCTCTTCCTCCTCTGTCTCCACTATTGATCACTGCAGGCTACTGCCAACTCACAGGAAGAACAATACCGCTGTCATGGTTACCATAGAGCACAGTCCAGATATGGAGGTGTGTGTGTTCTCTTACCTCAAGTTCTACAGTTTATCTCATATCACATGTTACTCCCTCCCTCCCTCATCCCTCCCTCTCTCCCTCCTTCCCTCCCTCTCTCCCTCCCTCCCTCCCTCCCTCCCACCCTCCCCATCAGAATGGACCACGGCTACTGGACTCACAAAAGCAGTTGGTAGCCACTGGGAAAGAAGAAATTCTCAAATTCATTTCGACAGAGAACGACTCAGTTCGCACAAACAACAAAATGGTCAGTTTCAACAATTTTATTCTGGGTGTGTAGTCCATAATATACCTGCATTAGTAAGCTACTACATAGGCTAAGTCTGTGTCAGCTCACACTTTAAAACTGAAGGGAACTGTTCTTACAGAAGCTCACCAACCTTGATTTTGATGCATCACAGTTTGGGTTGGATAACCTGAGAAGTTCTAGGTGCACATTTGTATAAGTCAGCCTATAGGGCTGTGTGTGTAGTATGTGTGTGTATGTTGTTGTCCGTTGACTGGTGTCTTGTTTTTCTTAGATCGATGATCTCTATCTCCAACTGGACTGCCCCATTCTCAACAGTGCCTCTGGAGATGCCAAACCCGTTCTGGTTGACACACCAGGTATGCCTATGTCATACCTAACTACCTTTGACCATACCTTTGTACTCATGCATGGGTCAATGTATAGCTCCTTAGCTGTAGCTACCCGAACATCTGTACTTGAAACTGAAGAGGTTTTGTTGCAAAACCTGCACCATAGCTGGCATTTGGAGACTCCCCTTTCATAATACTGGATGAATGCTGCATGTTTTCAGCAAACAAGCACAGCTCATCATCTAAACGTTGTTGTTACGATTTGTTGTTCATGCATGAGTGGTGGTGAACTATGGGATTATGGTTAGGTAGCCATAGCGTAATACGACTGGGGTGGTTAGATTAGGTTTGAGCTTCATAATATTGAGAGAGGGGGGAGAGGAAAGGAGAGAGAGAGAGAGAGAGAGAGAGAGAGAGAGAGAGGAGGGTATGGAGGGGGGAGGAAGGGAGGGAGAGAGGAAGGAGGGTGGGGTGGAGTAAGGTAGAAGGGGAGGGAGGGGGAGAGTGTTTTGTGAGTATGTAACACTATCTGCTGGTGATAATTGCAAGGTTGCCAACCCTTACCATGGACACCATATGCCGCCCATTAAATTTGAGAAAGCTATTATATTCCACACACACACACTAAAGGAATGTGCTGGAAATACGGAAATGGATTCTGTTTTCTGACTCATCTGCATTTCCGAAGAAAATCTGGTCATTCTTTTGAATTCTTTTGAATAGCAAGACACGATCATCGCCTTCCCCATAAAGAGCCATACAATTGACAATGTATACGGTGCTCAACAAGCCTGTTAATGTTTATGTTATTGGTAAAGAGTCCCATGGGAGTTACGGGGAATTCAGACCAGCCATTTATCCCTCTTATTAAAGTGCACCAACCCTCACTTGCCACATCCATTCATGGGCCACATGTGTTAAAGTGTGAGAACGCACCCTCATTATGAGCAATGGGCAGGGCCAACTATACATCAGTTGTCTGACTTATCTCCCAGACACCTTAATTTTATGAAAAGGCGGGACGATTGAAACACTACCATTTTTGCAAAACCTCTCTCTCCACACAATCTAGCTCTCCTTCACTTTTATCCATTAATTTTACCCAACCCTAGGGATTCAGATATGATTGAACTGCACTACGATTAACACCCCTCTCCCTATCCCTTTCTCTCTCTGTACACAGGGTTTGGGGAGGCAGGAGGAGCCCTGATAGACAGGATAGCCGGGGAGAGTCTGGAGGGCTGCAGTGCCTGTCTCATGGTCATGGCCTACACCATGCTCAGGGACGAGGCTGACATGGAGATCCTGGGACAGCTCCATGGCTCTGATCCAGGTTGTAGCTATATATACCACTACTGCACCCTCTCACCCACCATCACTTGAAACCTGGTTTAAGCAATCAGCGAAAGAACATTCAGTATGTTGTACTGATGACTAAAGCCTGGTTCGCAATACGGCGCTAGACTTTAGTTTAGTTTTGTCACCGACATTCATCAACACGCTGCGCTGTTCACAGTATTGACGGTGCGACGGTAGCTGACGAAACAAAATGACACCAAAGTCTAGCATCGTATTGTGAACCAGGCTTAAGTTTTTCCATTAGCCAATTAATTTTGTCTTCACTTGATCACATTTTTGAAGCTCATGGTTTCAGCAATCAGCGACACAATCCATATTCATGACTAGGTTGCCCAGTGAATAACTGTTCATTAGCCAATTGAAGCTATCTTTTCAAATGAAGTTGTACTAAAGAGTGGGAGCACTTGTGGTTTAGGTGTTGTTTGGTGCTCTGTCTGTCCACAAGTACTGCTCTCTCAGTGTCAGAGTGATGTGTCAGCTCTACTACTTAGTGTATGCATGTCAGGGTACACTAATGCTTAGCTCTGCTGGCATGATTGAGTGTGCTGTAACATTGTGCTTGCTAGTCATGCACACATGTTTGTATTGACAGGTTATTGTACACAGAACCGTGTTTCTTCCCTGCCGAGATGCAGCATGTTGCAGTACTGTAGCTGGGAAAAGCTTGTTCGTACTCATAGCCATGCACTTTATAACGAAACAGACATTATTTCATAGAACCATGTTTGTTTCTCTGCAAAGGTACAGCGTGTTGCAGTACCTGGTATTACAGTAGCTAGGAGAAGCTAGTTTACACTCATAACCATGCACTTCACAACATTTCACAGCAGGGTTTGGCAATGGGAAAGTTTATACAGTGAAACCATTGAAAACGGATATTCTCTATAAAGGATACTTGTCCCTAACAAGAGATGCCTCTGATGAATAAAGGACAAATGTGCCAATTGTGTAGGTCGTCCTTATCTCGGAGGTCAATAATACACTAAAGTATTAGCATGGGGTTGAAACAGAGGCAGTCAGACTCAGAGCTGACACCGAGTGTCCTTTGTAGAGAGGTTGTCCCTATCTCGGAGGGTCCCTTATCGGAGGTTACACGTACATAGCTCTAGGTTGCTAACACCTCCCCTCCTCCCCTCCTCCTCCTCCTCCTCCTCCTCTTCCTCCTCCTCCTCCTCCTCCCCCCTCTCCTTCACAGACCTGTCCAACGGGAGAAGGATCGTGATAGCAGTCACCCAACACGACCACTACTACACCGGCAAGCAGGATGAGGAGCTGAGTGCCGACACCACACAAGACCACGTCCACGAAGGTCTTCAGCAGCTCGGATACATGGTCCCCCGAGAACAGATTGTCGTTGTCTCAGGTAAATGGTCTTGGAATTACTCTCTCTCTCACCTGCAGTGGAACCTCCGAACAAGGGACACTATGGGGCCAACAAGTTGTCCCTTGTAGAGAGGTAGTCCCTATCTCGGAGGTCAACTTGTACGTCGTCTTGCGCATGCGTTGAGATTACGCACTTCTTTTTATACGAAATACTGTGCAGACCCCGGCGAGTTCTGTCTTTTTTGTTTGCTAACTGTACCTTTCATTTGTCTCTCACTTGGTGGTAGAGTCGTCACTCTAACAGTCTCTCGGTACTGTTATGTCATTGCGGAGCCATTTGGTCACCCCACCAGTGAAATCTCTGTGTGTGTTGCACTCGGCTTGCTCTTTCCACTAGTACGGAATAGATCCTGAGATCCTGAGTTGGAATCCTACCTCAGCCATGCATGTATTGCGTATTAGCAATGAAAGGCTAGGTTCGCAATATTTCGCATTGAACCATCACACCTTGCCACTTTGCCGTGTCGCGAGGACCATGTGACGCGGCACAGCATGATGGGGCAATGCGACATATTGTGGACCTAACCTAAGTTGACCCTCGGGGTGCTTTGGCCCCAATGAGACAAATGGTGGTACATGAATGTGATGCAACTTTGTTGCCAGAGTATAGATGACAAATTTTAGTTGTATATAGGTGGTGCCTATTTGAGCTACATTCAATCGACTTCAAACTCTTCCCTATCTCGTTTCTCCCTCCCTCCCTTTTCCCTCCCTCCCCAGGTGAGTGGGCCCTGATGGCAAGGGAGCTGGCCAAAAACCCAGGGAACAGAGAGCTGTTCCAGAGAGCCAGAAAGTTCCTCACCTTCTACAAAGACACCCAGGCCAAAGGTCAGCAACCCTCTTACTCTGCTACCTATAGATGGAGGCAACAGTATATCCAGTTCATATTTCAGCTGCATATTGTTAAGGTTATGTTACTTTCACCACAACATGTCCCAAAGGTTGTTGTTCAAGTAGGTAATGGGGAATTGTCCTAATCACCAAACACATGAGGCTCAAGCTCTTATAATATGACACAAATGTGCCGTAGATAGTTCATACTTTAGTATTTTTAGCTACTATTAATTGGGAGAGTAAGTTGATGATAGCTATGAAACAGCACCGTATAATTTGTTAAGTTGTGAAAAGATTGTGTGGTGATAACCGTTGTTTGTCTGTCAGGAGATGGTAAAGAGGATTACGATGCATTTGAAGAGGTGGCCGGAATGAATGTGGAAACTGTTGCCAGGGAACTGGAGGAGGCCAGCAACATCAAGGATCTCGAGGCCAGGTGAGGGCGAGAGTGAAACAGAGGGAGAGCTAAACAGGTTTTCTTGATCTGAGAAAAAGTGTAGGCTGTAGACTGAAAGGGTAGATTACTACCCCATTTAATGGGCTTGGACTTTGGACTTTTCACTGAGTTAAAGTAGGAACACTTAAGAGTAGGCTGCTACCTCACTAAATGGGCTTCGGCTGTTTGCTTGGGGGGAGGTTTTATAAGTAAGTGAGAAATAGGAAGATTAAAGAGCAGGCAGTAGACTGAATGGGTCAGTCACTACCACACACTTGTTGGACTTTGGGCTTACTTAGGGTAAGGTCCTCAAACCACTGACCTAGCTATAAGTAATGAGAACACAGGCTAGATATGAGAATAAAGACCCACTATTGGTCTGTGTGTGTGTGCCTCTCAGGGTTGTGGAGATGTCAGGTCGGTGCAACGACATTCTGCTGAGTAGTGCCAAAAACAAAGTGAGCTACTACCTCCAGCAGGCCCTGGACGAACTGAACATCCATCTCGAGACTGCCTGCAACAAGTACCAGGGTGAGTGGGGGAGGGAGGGGAGTTAAGAAGCAATAGAGGGGGAAAGAAAGAAGGAGAGAGGAGAATTTGAATGGGAGAGGGAAATAAATAACGAAAGTGGCATAAGTGTGTGTGAGAAGCAAAAGTGAAGTTCAGGCATAAACATAGCAAATAGAAGCACGGTGTATTGGGCATTTACCAGCCTCAAAGGTCTCACAATGACGCAGAAGGTAATGTAGCTGGATACAGACATAATGCTCGAGATGTATGATCAGAAAATTGGTGGCAATTTAATCCAAGGGTTTCAATGTTAATCAGCACAAACTTTAACGAGTGTCTAGCTAAAAGAACTCAATCGTAAGCCATATTCCTCGCCACCAAGGCTAAGTTCACAATAATTTTGTTGCATTGTGCTGTGCAGTGTCACGTCATGCTGCGAAGATAGAAATGGATTCTATATAGCTATCCTCGCAACGTTGACATGGCGTGACGGGGCAACAGTACATACTGTACCTAGCCTAATTGATAGCAAGAGCAAGGAATAGCAAGAGTGTAGTCAAGAGTTTGTAATTGCAACTATTATTCTGCTCTGCAGCTGAGCAGAGAGAGGAGGAGAGGATATCGGTCTGCGTGGCAGAGGTGGAGAAGCAGAAGGCGGCCATCTCTCAGACCATTGTGGCTGGAGAGGGGAGCAACGTACACATCTCTCTCAAGGAAAAGGTCGACAGAGAGACTGAGGTAGGCGGGGCCTGAGGTGGGCGGATCCTAGGGGCAGAGTATGAGTGGGGGGAGGGTGAGTTTAATGGGCAGAGTCGCTAGTTATGTGTTTCATTTCTCGCCTTGCTCAATAGGTATGGTTTTAGGTTTGCACAATGCACCGACCCAGATAGTCATGAGAAATAACTAGACGAACTACTTTTGTGGGGGCATGTGTGAAACTCAGTATATAGCTAAGCCGGAGTTTACTTCAATGGCAGTCTGTAAGGAAATGTCGCTGTCTTTGTCCATTGGCAGGTGGCCTGCAACAAGACACAGAGGGTCATTCGTCGTAAGTTGTTCCAACTGCGAACTCAGAGTCTGGAGAAGGTCCAGGCACAGATGTACACCACTGAGTTGTACCATGAAGGTGTGTTCTATATAATTATTTCTACTATAATATTAGTATTACATGCTGTGTAGCTTTGTGCTGTTAATCAAGGAAAGGGAAAATGTGGAACTGCTTTCACATACAATGCAACGCAACCTAGCCTGCGTGATTTCTCTATTTCATCCTCTGTGTCCTTTACTTTGCAAGTTAACAGACATCAGGGTAAATCCAAAAGACCTCTAGAGAACCTTGAAACATTCAGTCATTAGGCAGCTAGAGAACCTTGAAACCTTGATACCAAGAAAGCTCGTTATAATTATGCCTCTCCTTGATTTGTTTATCATGGGATCACCTGTGTGTGTGTGTGTGTCTAGACCTGAACAGCGTGGAAGAGGAGCTGGGAACAGTTCTGAGGAATGCAATGAACAGCACTCTCTACAGCAGGTCTCAGAGCAAGAGCAACAGATACATGCAGTACAGAGTGAGTCCCATCCCCCTATCCCCTCTCTTCTTTCTTTGAATTATGTGGGGTGAGGATGTGAGGAGAGAGTGGCCGAGAGAGGCAGCACAGTATTATAGTTCCTGGGGTTATATAGGAACTAGGGTTAAAGCAATGCAAATGACGAGGGAGCATTCAAAAGCAAACAAGACAGCTCTTCTCTTTGCTCCCTTGAAAAAGGAGCTGTCCTAGGTGGGATTCGAACCCACGGAACTCTGCGCTCTAGGCAAGCACTCTACCAGCTGAGCTACCAGGGCAACTCGGGTGGTAGTGGTTCAAATCTTCAACACAAGACAAAGACAAACATCAAACGACTGAACATGTCATTGCAGCACTTAACCAGTCCATATCTAATGTGACTACCCTGGATCTCTCAGAAATTACGTCTCTCTTTTAGCTTCTTTCTTTCCACCTCACTCGCACGCTCTAACAGGTTCCTACAAGTTTCTACCGCATGGAGGGTGTGGTCAGGGAACTGGGCGGGGCCTCAGACGTCCCTCGGATGGTGTCGACACCAGAGCCGGAGCCAGTGGAAGTTGACGAGCCAATTATTGAGGAGGAGAGCGAAGAGGAGGAAGAAGAGGTGAGGGAGTTTCAGAGAGTCACTTTTAAAGTGGCAGTAAGGAGAAACGTTACTAAAGATAGAACTAAACAATAGGGCCCAAGTATCCCCGTATGAATCATTGTAGTATGCAGGAATGAGGCTTTATTTCTGGTAGCTACAGATCTACTAGTTTTTCTCCCTAACAGAATAAAATCACATACTTATACTGCGTATGTGTGACAGGACATTGAATGATTCCCCTCCTTATGTGTCAGTTGCTTGTGGCGTTGAGGATGAATATGGCATTAACACAATCTCAGGCAGAAAAGTGTTCACAATAGTGGGTGAATTCTGTCATTATTATGCAGGATAAGAAAGAGAAAGACTACCTTCGTAGACTTTTGCAAGTGATGCACTATCTCTGTGTGTATATTATATAGCTGAATATTGGAGCCTCAGCTGCCACACTCAATGATGAAGTGCATGAAGGAGGAGAGGGAGAGAGAGAGGGAGGTGAGGGGGGAGGAGAGGAGGGAGAGGGAGAGAGGGGAGAAAGATGAGGCGTCTGGTCCTGACACAGTGAAAGAGAAGAACAGCAGCAAAAGGGTCAGCCATTATCAACCTAGCCTACTAGCCATCTGATGCTTTCTCTATCTGCAGTTATATACACTATTATCATGTCTGTGATTATGTATATAAGGAGAAAATGTTATACTAAAAAACCAGAAAATAATTGCATTCTTGCACTGGGTCCTATTGCTTAGTTAAAGCTTCAGTAAAAACTTTATGGACTGCCACATTCCCTTGAGTTACTCAGAGGTTTCACTGTATATACTACCACTGCAGGAGCTGGTCAAGAGTAGTGACGACGTGAGGAGAGAGTGGCCGCGAGAGGGAGACAGTGTGGACGGGATCATGGGCAGCAACGTCGACATAACCTCTCTCGTGGGGGACAAGGAGGAGCAGCTGCAGCTCAAACAACTCGTGGAGGCTCACCACATTGACATCCCGTGAGCTAGCTTATCTTATATATCCACCTCCTGCATGTTGTCATGTTCCAAAGTCCAAGGAATCCCGTCTCTTGTTTATGTCCACATTGCACAAAAATACATCAGTGCGCTGCTTAATTCTTCCAAAAGCCAATCATCTGTGTTTTTGTGTCAACTCTATTGTATACCCTAGCACCAAATATTATTTTAGGTATATACATCGTTTTCTCAATTATTTAGTTCCCAATCTACGAAGATGTGCTCTGCGAAAAAATAATTAGCAAACTTACTACAGCAGTGCACATTGCTCTCTGTGAATATCGTTTCTGAGAAACATATTCAATCGCTTACCCTTTCTCCTTTTGTTATCTCCTTAAAATTCCCTTCCTCTCACCTTATTTTGTCATCTGCCCGACAGAGCCCTGAGACGATACTCTTCATGGAAAAAGTTCAAGCTCTACATGAGGTATATAATGGTGCATGCGGCTATACCAAGTTTAGAGAATAAACCTCAGCCTAGTTCCATGAATGACATCACCTGTATAGCTGCAGTGGAACCTCCGAACAAGGGGCTCTATGGGGCCAACGATTCCTTGTAGAGAGGTCATCCGTATCTCGGAGAATAATACACTAAAGTATTAGCATGGGGTTGAAACAACTGTCCTCGTAGAGAGATCGTCCCTACCTCGGAGGGTCCCTTATTGGAGGTTGCACTGTATGTATATAGATGCACGGCTCATTAGAGCTGGTAAAGTGAGGGGCCATTGACTTTCTCCACACAGGATTGTGTTCAGACGACGCAAGACGACAGACCCAGTCAACATTGCTGCAGCTCGCAGGAGCAAGTACCGACAGGTCCAGATGACGTGAGTCACTAGCTACCACTCTGTTTACTCTCCCCCACTTCCCACTAGCTATAGATCTGCGATTGTGTCATGCAAAGAAGAGCTCAACTTGAGTGTTTTCAAGCCGCTTGCTTTTTCCACAACAATGTGCTCACAAACTAGTTCGCAAGCTTGAAGTGAACGTTTGCCATTCAGCCTTGTGGTAACGGTAGGCATTCAACAAACATTAAAGCCTAAAACTATCCTTGGTGCTGGCTGTTAAACCTCTAAGTATGGCAAGTCTGGTGGATGTTACACTACAAGTATGAACATGTTAGTCTATGTATAAATGTATGGTCTTCTGGTGGCTGTATTGCAGGGAGGAGGAGGTGAGGCAGGGGTTCCGGGACATAATGGAGGCCTACAAGGAGGAGGTGACGTTCCTGTTCTACCAGGAGAACACGGGCGTCAGGGACCAGGTTTTCAACTATTTCTACTCCGAATACCGCACAGACGTGGAGCAGAAACTGGCCACCTTCCAGAGCAAGTACGGGAAGGTTCTGGAGAGACAGGGCACAGTGTTGCAAGAGGTGAGGGGTGGGAGGGAGAGGAGGTGACGGGTGAGAGAGTGAATGACAGGTGAGGGGAGGTAAAGGAGGGAGAAGGAGAAGAGAGAAGTAAGCAGAGAGGGAAATGGAATATTGGGACAGGGCATTTTCTTTTTGAAAGTAGTGAGAGGGAGGGAAATTAGGAAGAGCATCAATATGCAAATGGCAAGACAAAGTTATTCAAAATGTAAGAGATGGGAGAGAAACAAAGAATGCAGCAAGGGAGGGAGCAGAGAAAGAACACAGGGTTTAATATTGGCATGTGGGGAAGATAGAGCGATTGCAAGAGAGGGAGGGAGGAGAGGGGAAAAGAGAAGGGTAGTGACGTTTATGTCTGATTCTCTCCCTCGACCCCCTGCAGACTAATTCCCGGATGGGTGAGCTGGCAGAGAAGATCCAGGACCTGGAGTTCATTGTTGATATAATGGAGGGGGTGGCAGTCAAGTTCAAGCCAACAGCTGCTGCCGTCTAGCTAGAAAGAACCAATAAATCCTTTTTATCATAGAAAAAAATCAAGACTCTTTTATCCAATCAGTGGTCCATCAATTTTCCTGACCAATATATTTTATAACTCCTCTTTGAATTTCTAACAACAGTTGCGTGCATCAGATTGTTGGTAGATGCTCTACATGGATGGCACAGGTCAAATCTCACATGATGTGCATACAAAAAGGCAAACTAGCCCTTTAAAAATGGCTCATGTATACATGCTTTCAGTTAGCCCCATGAGAATTTGCCTACACACAATATCTGTGTCATCATATTAATCATCATACTAGTAGGTGAATGCACTGCATTTTTGGCGAGCGGGAGCGATCTAACGATTGTGTGCATGCGCAAAGAAACTGTTGATTCATGTGTAGTAACTGTAGTCGACCCTCTCTCTCCTCGACAGACTCGGCGGCAATTCGCCTTGTCTGATAGCTTCGGATCTGTTGGAGCCTTGCCTGTTGCGTTTCCTCTGATTCCGCAGCACGTGTAGCTCTTACACGACTTCTCGCTAGTCGTGCTTCCCTTTCTTCCGCTGTTTCCGTGGCCAGGCGTTGCCCTTGCCCGTTCCCTATCACGCAGTCGGCGTCGAGAAAGATGAGCCTCTCTTTGCTCAGAAGTTTCACTGGCACGACGTTCTCTTTCCCTTTCTCGTCGACGAAGGGCATCTTCTCTAGACCGATCAATCAGATCAGAAAGTGTTACTGGCGAGCGGGAGCGAGCTAACCTAGTGGTCCACACGGCGCAATTTTACCGCGTACGTCGTGTAAGTGCGCATGCTCCAGGATGTGTCGTGCGTACGTGTGTGTAGCTCCGTATTCTCGCATCAGTCTGAGAGGATGCCGTTCGTCGTCGAAGAGAGAGGGAAAGAGAACATCGCGTCAGTGAGACTCCTGAGCAGGGAACGCGCATATTCTTTACACGCTGCCTAGCTGTCATATCGATGGGAAATCTCTGCGAAAGAACTCCCGTCTATTCGCTGGCATTCGCTGCGCTCTTCAATACCTGACCGAGGCTGTATATACCTCTTTCCAATCTTCGTGGTCTAAGGTTCAAGTTGTAAATAGGCTAGGATGGCTAATGCAGATACAGTCATTGTGTGCTCGCTCCCGCCAAAAATACCATGCATATTCGGCTACTAGTATTATACACGAGAAATTACGGTGTAAAAATTTGAAATGTTTTTCGGATAAAAAGAAGCCCGTGGACGACGTACGCGCGGTCGAAAAATCGCGCCGTTCGTACCACTAGGTAGGTTAGCTCGCTCCCGCTCGCCAATTCTTCTTCTTCTTTACTATCTCCTTTTGAAGGGTTTTTTTACTAAACATCTCCAGAAGTTCTTTGAAATCTATTAGCTAACTGTAATAATCAAAAGTTAAACTGGTGTCATTATGCCACCAATCAACGTGGTCATCGCAGCTTCCTCTAAGAATGTGAGGGGGACAGGGGCCCGCTCCGTCTGGTCCCAGCACAGGGGTGGTGGCAATGACTCCATTCTGACTTACCTCCAGCTCATTTGTTCCACACTCTCTGGAACCACCGAGGTGGTATAAGGTGCGCTTGAACCTGATTCTGAAAGGCAGGCTGCATATCTTGACGGTCACCACATCTCCAACTTCAATGTGGTCGATTTCGTCATAGTAGACAGCCGTGACATCCACCAGAAGATTGTACCTGTACTCGGGATCTCCGTCTTGCTCGGAAACCCTTTGATGATGATTTTTGATTTTCCCCCTATAGCTACGGCGCGCGTGGCCGAAACAGCTGGCTCTAGCTGTCCTGGCCGAAGAAGACTATGGCAGCAAGGAAGGAGCTCATGCTCGCCGAGAGATTTCAGGTGATTGAATATGTTCAGAATAACCCGGGTGTCGGATCGCGTTCGATCACTGAAAAGTTTCGTTGTGGTCGAACACAAATCCAGAAGGTTTTAGGAGACAATTCTTGCGGACTACACGATGAATGTTCCATCTTCTAGGAAGCGCTGTCGGCTACCCACGCATGCAGATATCAATGACGCCATGTATGAATGGTACAGCTTTACAAGAGAGCGAAGTATTCCGGTTACTGGGCCTATGTTGCAAGAGGAAGCTCTCCAAGTTGCTAGTCGCCTTGGCAACACTACTTTCAAGGCATCTAATGGGTGGCTAGAGGCTTTTAAGAAAAGGCACAACATAAAACAGTTAGTGGTAGTGGTGACGTTCATGGCTGGAGAGGTTGCCCTCTATTTTGAGGGGTTACTCTCTAGAGGATATATGGAATCAAGATGAAACCGGTTGCTTTTATCGGGCCCTCCCAGAAAAGAGCTTGGCAGAGAAGAAGAAGCAATGCCATTCGTTGTGACTTCTTGTGCCTTCAAGATAGACAGAGCAAGCGGACCCGGTCGAGGTGCTATATATAAGCGCATGCGCATTTTCCGCCAGCGATAAAATGGCGACTACAATGGTGGAAGCGCTGTAGCTCTGCAACGGAGCATTTTCAGAGAATAATTTCTGACCTTCATTGCCCGGGACGTCGCATCGTTTGCGAGACGAACAGACACTCGAGAAGTGAGATTGAGAGTAACAGGCACACACACAGACAAACAGTAACCCTCGCTGCGCATGCGTGCCGAGGGTTAACTACAATATATACCCTCGCTGCGCATGCGCGCCGAGGGTAATTATGCAAACCCTCGGCGAACTGCGCATGCGCAGTACTGCTAATTGATGGGCTGGGCTATTTCGTGGTGGTCTCCCGCTAGTATAGCTCGCGGAGAGTCTGACACGGGCTAGCTACAGTAGGTAGATAACATGCGGGAGTCGATACACGCCCTTCGTGGTGACTTCTTGTGCCTTCAAGATAGACAGAGCAAGCGGGCCCGGTCGAGGTGCTAAATATAAGCGCATGCGCATTTTCCGCAGCGATAAAAATGGCTTGAAGCGCTCTAGCTTTTTCAGAGAAAACCCCACAAAGCTTCTGACCTTCATTGCCCGTTGAGTAGGTCATATCGTTTGTGAGACGACATTCGAGAAGTGAGATGTAGAGTAACAGACACAGACACACACACACACACACACCCAACTACAGTACCCTCGCTGCGCATGCGCACCGAGGGTAATGAGTGCAAACCCTCGGCGCACTGTGACGCGCACGCGTAAGTAAACGCATGCGCAGTACCACTAATTGATGGGCTGGGTTTAGTTTTAGCTGTCACTCGTGGTCTCTTCCCAGCTCGCGCAGAGTCTGACGCGGGCTAACTACACTGCTAGATAGCAAGCGAGAGGCGATTCACGCCCTGCGCTGCATCTTCTGGTTGCCTCCGATACGCAGAGCACGTGGATCGATCCGACTGTGGTAAGCCATCCCGTCCGTTGTTGTGTATTTGCATATTGGATTTTTCGCGCTCTAGCTTTGCAACGGAGCAGTTTCAGAGAAAACCGTTCGAAATTTCTGACCTTCATTGCCCGCGAAGTAGGTCGTATCCTTTGTGAGACGAACAGACATTCGAGAAGTGAGATTGAGAGTAACAGACACACAGACAGACAAACTGCGCATCGAGGTAAACTACTGTAACCCTCGCTGCGCATGCGCGCCGAGGGTTAATGATAAAGTGCAAACCCTCGGCGAACTGCGCATGCGCGATACTGCTAATTGATGGGCTGGGCCGGCTATTTGTATGCGTTTACCCGTGGTCTTCCGCTAGTAGCCGCGGAGAGTCAGACACGGGCTAGCTACAGTAGTAGATAGCATGCGGGAGTCGATACATGCCATTCGTTGTGACTTCCTGAGCACCCAAGGTACACAGAGCGAGCAGTGCGAAGTTGGCCTTTTCGCTTGTTTTCACGGCATATCTCTCAAACGAAGTCGTTTCAGGAAAATCGCCTAATGAGTTTTCAGGCTCCCGTAGTTCTGAATCCATTGGTATCGCTAATGGGCGGCCTCGTAGCCTGTAGTGTCAGAATAAGCGTCGACACACAGACAGACAGACAGATGAACGACTACCGTAACCCTCGCTGCGCATGCGCGCCGAGGGTTAACTTAATTCGGCGCTAGAGCTCGGAGGCCGCGCGCCATCCACGATGCATATTACTAGAAGAATGTTGAACATTGTTGGCGAGCGGGAGCGACCCAACTTGGGATTTGTCCGCGATGTTCGGGATGCATAACGTGCCGTCAGCGCAGAGCGTATGCCAGAACGGTGAGCAGAACGGTCCAGCTCGTCTGTCGAGGTCCACCAGGCAGCTGGCATGGCAGTAGGCTAGGCAGCGATCGATGGGGCTGACCGACAACGCGACGTGTGTTAGCTGGTCCACCAGGCAGCTGGCATGCAGCAGAGCAATCCTAGCGTATTTGCAGCTTGGAAACATGAAGATTGGGAAGAGGTACAGCCTCGGTCTCACAGAAGGTTGCAGAGCATGCCGTCGAATGGAGGAGAGTTCTCTCGCTGGCTAGATCGATCGGCGCATATCGCGAGGCACTGTGTGTGGTAAAAATTTGGAAATAACTTCTGATAAAAAGAAGCCCGTACAAAACCGCGCATGCGCACTTATAACGGACGGACGGACGTATAATTGGCGAGCGGGAGCGAGCCAACCTAGTGGTACGAACGGCGCGATTTTTCTATATAATTATATATATATATATCTACGACCGTCGTCGTACGTCGTGTAAGTGCGCATGCGCGTCTTTGTACGCGCTTCTTTTTATCCGAAACTATTTCCAAATTTTTACACATTTTCACACACGGTGCCTCGCGATATGCGCCGATCGATCTATATAGCCAGCTAGAGAACTCTCCTCCATTCGACGGCATGCGCTGCAACCTTCGGTGACTGACCGAGGCTGTACCTCTTCCCAATCTTCATGGTTCCAAGCTGCAACTTGCAAATACGCTAGGATTGCTCGTGCACGTACTGCTGCATGCCAGCTGCCTGGTGAACCACGACTGACGAGTTGAAAGCGTAAGGTAAGTACCGTTCTGCTCACCTGCTCACCGTTCTGCCAATGTACAATACGTTATGTAACGGCGACAGGTAGCTCTGTCTTGCTTCACGAAAGGAAAGCTGTGCGCTGACGGCACGTTATGCAACCTGAACATCGCGGGCAAATCCCAAGTTGGGTCGCTC